AAGACAGTCGAAGTGGCCTTGTTTGTGCACAACGCAGGTGGAAGACCAGAATCATGGCAAAGACCTTCTGAACCTTCGCCAGTGGAAGAAGGCAGTTGGCTGTGAGCTCCACTGTGGCACTTCCGCGGCACTTCCCCGGTTCATCATTGGGTTTGGTGGAACATACGACCACCATGCCAGGGTCTGGAGTGAGTGATCCTGGCCATCCGCCTTGCGGTTGTGGCCGCCTGAACCAACCCGCGGGTCATGCCATCCCGCGTCACCACTGATCGCGCGCGGGTCATGACAAACCCCACCTAGAGAGGTTGAAGAGCCCCAAGGTCGCCCATCCCATATGTACCACAGACCACGGTCCGAACGTTCAGGTCTCTCAACCTCTCTTGGCAGAGGCGACCCACCTCACGGCCCGAACCCACCTGCGCTCCCCCCGACGTCCGCGCTCCCCCTCCGCGGGCCCGAGCTTCGACCGCGAACGGGTTCCAAGGGTCGGGTTCGGTGGAGGGGAACCTTCCTGCTTCCGGTCCGGGTCACTAGGGGTCACCTGGGAGATCTGACAGACACGACGTCAACAGGTCTCCAGACCTCCAGGGCACCCCGGTTCGCCCGCGCGCGCCGCGCCTTCGCCTTCGCCATGTTTTCGGACACCTCGAGCAGGTGGACGGTGGCGACAGGCACACGGCACGTGTCCGCCCGAAGAAGGCCAGAACAGTTGGAGTGTTGGTGCGGTGGCGGCGGAAAGGGTCCAGAGGCAGTGGGGAGCAAGCAAGTTGTGCCCTCGGCGGAGCGATCATTGCAAGGAGGGTTTGACAGGTGCTTAGGTTTAGGTGTGAGGTGGTTGCTTCTTTGGCTACCATGATTTTTACTAGGTAGACAGGTAGACAGGTAGATAAACCCTCTTGCAGTTGCGGTGGTGATGTCTTCTTGCTTTGGGGGCTGCAAGACCCCCTTGTTTTGAAGGGAGACCCCGGATGCGGAGCACCTCCAACAGAGACACCAACGCACTGCTGGATCCAACGTGCTCCCGTCTACGGATCCAACGTGGCACAGGAGGCCCTAAAGTACCTGGTGCTGGCACAGGCAGGCAGTCTTTGATGCGGGGGTGGAGCGTTTTGGCAGACTTGAAAGGTTGCTTTGGGGCCCGTTGACCACCTGAGACCTGGTGATTTTGGAGGCCAGAGAGCCTGAGGACATCTAGGAACTGGCTACCCCTCTTCAAACCTCACCAGCTTGGTCATCAGCACCAAAAAGATGTCTCTCCTCCGGTGCAGTTAGGGGGGTAGTTTTCAGTTTTGATTCAGTGGATGTGGATGTAACAGGGGTTCCCCAACTGAAGCCGTCCATGGAATTTGTCTCAGCCCGCGCGAACGCCTAGCTCCGCGCTTGCGCCACGTTCCGCGTAGCTCCGCGGCGACAGCTCGCGCCTGGTCTTTCGGTCCAGGTGGCTTCCGTGGGCCGCCCATGAAAGCGCCGCCCGCGCCCTTCACAGCGAGTGCCGAAGCGGCGGCGGAGCCAGATCCGCCGCAGTGCAAGGAACCACCGATGGGGGTCGCTTGGGTGCCATGAACGAAAAGCGACCAAAAGAAAGTATTGGGAGCCTAAGAATCCTTGGGCTCTCCATGGCAGGGGTCGGACCCTCCATAGCAGGGGTCCGGACCCTCAAAACCCTATGTGTTGGTTCGGGCCCGGATTCTTAGGGGAGGAGGAGTTGGTGGTGGACCACGTTCGTGGAGGTGGTTGGGCGGTTTCTTGGGAGGGTTGGGAGGATCCAAGAGAGGTTGAAAAGCCCTAAGGTCGCCCATCCCATACAGTACACTACAGGGTCCTAGTTCAGGCTGCTCAACCTCTCTTGGATTTTGGGAGGAGGATCGTTCACTTTCCTTTTAAGACTTGGAGACCATCGATGGTCACATCTAGGACCGGTCCGTTTGTCACGGACCGGTCCAAAAAATGGTCGGCCCGGAAAGGCGAGAATGAGGTCAATCTCCTGACCCTGGGGTCAGTTAGGACTCGACCATGTTTCAAATGGCGGTTCGACTCCTGGTTTTGTAGTGTAAAACCCTTAGTAAAACAAGGGTGCTTCGGGAAGAACAGGCTATCAAAACAATGGTCGGCCACAACTTCTAGAGTGACTTAGTAGGGAAATGACACCAGCGATTTTCCACTTCGGCAGCCTTTTCCAGGTGTCTCCCCGCATGCGTTTCTTTTTTCACGCCTCCCGCTTGCTGCTCGCGCCACCCTTAGGCGACCTTTACGCCACCTGGCGGAACGGGCGGAACGGGCGCTTCGTCGCCTCCGCGTCGCCGGGGGTCCGACGTTCACGCCGACCAGCGACGGGGCAGGTGCCCGACCGATTGAGGTTCGTCAATAAAGCACGAGACCCGCCATGTTCTGCCGCCCACATGTTCTGCCTTTTCCAAATTTCCCAGACGCACCAAACAGCACCGGTCCCTCAAAACCTAGCGATTTGAGACCCCAAACCCCTCCAGAGGATTCGGGTCCGACCCCTCCATATGAGGGCCCATGAGCGTCTGGGTGGTCCAAAACTCGCAGTTCCGGAGGTAAAAATCATTCTTTAGGATCGGGGCCGGCGGGTGCTTCTAGCGACTACGCTCTCGTTGTGCGGTGCCGTGCGCATTTTCGCACATGATGGTGACTCTTCGTGGCAGGCGCAAGGGAAACCTCGTGTTTTGGTGCTCCAAAGTCGACAGGTGCAAGGCAGATTTCGTGGCAGGTGCAGCACTTCGGGCATGGTGGTGATCGTCGAGGAGCTCAGATTTCGTGACAGGTGCAGTGAATCGTGACTTTTGGACATGTGGCTTGTTTGCAGATTTCGTGGCAGGCACAGCACTTTCTGAACCTCGAAGTGCAGATTTCGTGGCAGGTACAGCACTTTGTGAGCCTCGAAGTGCAGATTTCGTGGCAGGCGCAGCACTTTGTGAACTGCGAAGTGCAGATGTCGTGGCAGGCACAGCACTTGGTGCAGACTTCGTGGCAGGTATAGCACTTTGTGAACCTCGAAGTGCAGATTTCGTGGCAGGTGACCCTCGAAGTGCAGATTAATGGCAGGCGCAGCGCTTGGTGAACCTCAAGTGCAGATTTCGTGGCAGGCGCAGTACTTTGTAAACCTAGAAGTGCAGATTTCGGCGCAGAGCAGCTCTTTGTGCTCTCAGGTGCTCACTCTCTCACTCTCACTCTCACCCTCACTCTCACTCACTCACACACGCCGCTCACACTCACACTCTTCACTCACACTCACATGCACACACTCACATTAACATTCACACTCACACTCACACTCACTCTCACTCACACTCGCACTCACACTCCCGCACTCACTCTCACTCACTCTCACTCTCACTCTCGCTCTCACTCTCACTCTCACTCTCACTCACACTTGCGCTCACACTCACTCACTCTCCCACTCACACTCACACTCACACTCCTCACTCACACCCACTCACTCTCCCACTCTCACACTCTCACTCACTCTCACTCTCACTCACACTTGCGCTCACACTCTCACTCACACTCACACTCACTCTCACTCTCGCCCACACTCACTCGAGAGTGAGTGTGAGTGTGAGTGTGCGAGTGTGAGTGAGTGTGAGAGTGAGTGTGGGTGAAAGTGAGTGTGGGTGAGAGCGAGAGTGTGAGTGGGTGAGAGTGTGCGTGAGCTGGGGGGCATTATTTTTTTCAGAGACCTCCACATGGGGGGCGTCGATCTATAGTATCAAGTACCCAAATGAACTTCAAAGGGGACCCCCCAACCACCCCGCCGCCATCACGGCGGCACCGCTCATCTGAGGAATTGCGTCGACAGCTTGGATTTGCTCAAAGTCAAGGTATGTGCAGAGAACCCCCCATCCAAGATGGGGTGGTTGGCATCCTGGCATCCCGGGCCAAAGTGCCCAACGGCCAGACCACAACTGGAGGGTGGAGCAATTAGCTATTGAGCATTCAGTTTGGAGGCCATCGCTATTGCTATTCGGTTAAAGGCCATTGCTATTAGGTTGGAGGCAACCGCTATTAGGTTTGGAGGCCATTCCCACCAGATCCGAACTGCGAAGCCAACCGCGACGCGGTCCACCGCATCTCAGGACCCCCATGGCCTTGGAGCGCAAGGCCCCCCCCCTGCAGCTTCGAAGCGCCGAAGACGCCCACGCCCCACGCGCCGCCGCCCAAGCCGATGCCGACCGCGGCGCCACCGCCGCCAGCGGTGCCCAACCACACGTCGCTGCCGCAGCGGCCGCCAGAGAAGGCGCCGCCAGAGAAGGCGCCGCCGGAGAAGGCACCGCCGGGGCCGCGGCCGGCGCCAGAGGCGAGGGCAAGCGGCCTGGTTTTGTTTAAGGCACTTTTTTTTATGCTCCTATGGCTATATTGACTTATGAATATCTACTTCAGCAGCAAATCCCAGGTGGCGAGGCGCCGGTGCGGAAGAAGGCACCCCCTTCCATGCTGACGACGAAGGCGCCGCCAGCCTTTGGAGGAGAATTTGGTTGTTTTGGGAGGCTTTGGGTTAGAAAGCGCGCTGGATGCCATACATGCCGGGTGATGACTATATAGTGCAGTCCGTTACCCTCTTGTTGGTAGCCTAGGAAGCACAGGAAGTAGTCTGGTGATTGTCAGAAGAGCCACATACTAGAAATCCTTGCAATCCCCTTCACTTTTTGCGGTGCAATGCTTTCATTTTTGAGCTCTCAATGTTTGTGCCACATGGGTTTGTGCTACCTACCGGGTGAGTCATAACCAACGAAGTCACCTTTTGTGGTAAGTGTTTTGCCCAGACACTCCTGGACCCGCATATGCAGGGGTCGGACCCGAATCCTCTGGAGGGGTTTGGACCCGAACCAAACCCTATGGTTTTGAGGGACCCAGTCGGGCGTCGTTCACGGAGCGTGTGCATGGAAGAGTCTCACCGTAGACTCATCGTGACTGCAACTCAATTTTGTTTTTCATCATCAGAGCCTTTGACCGTCGCACCGAGCGGCTCTCTTCGACCCGACCGTCGCATCGCGCATGTGGGCCACCTGTCTCTTCTGCTCTTCCCGGAAATTCGCTCTCCTTCGCGATCTGCGGAGATCGCTGCGTCTGCCGTGTCTGACTGGGTGGCGCAGCTGAACAGACATCGATCGACCAGCTGATCGGCATCGCCGAACCTTAGAGGTCCCCAGGGTCTCGGACGTGACGTCGGCGAAGTGACAGGTGGTGTCTTTCGCATTCGCTTCGGTGGGGAACTGGGTTTTCGGCACTGAGAAGTCAGGAACTCACCCACCGTGTTCGCCGTGCGGCGTTCCGAACGTTCCACGCCGTGGGACGACACGATGCGATGCGGTTCCAGGAGACACGACGACGCGAAGCGTGCTGCAGGTGGTGCTGGGAGACGGTTCTTCACCGGGATGCACCAGACGGGAGTTCACCAGCCCGACCGGTCTAACCAACAGAGGTGGGGAGCGAACCCGAACGTTCGGCTATCCCAGGAACCGGTACCCCTGGTTTTCCGGGTCCGACTCGTGACCTGGTCACTCTCCACCTCTGTTGGAAAACCCTGCAAATTGGTGAGATCGTGTCTGGGGCCCGAGTGACGTTTATGATGCACCTGGAATGCATCTTTCTACATCGTCCCAAGTGACCCTTTGGTCCAGTTCTCCTGGTCAAACCTCAACCACTGAGTCGTGTTTGGTCCTGGTTGACCAACGCCAACAAAAGAGGTCAGTTCCTTAAAACCTGTCAGGACACAAACATAAAGTTATATATAGGGGTTATAGTTATGGATAGCTTCAAACATCGGGGGATCCACCAGCACCCGACTCTACAGGTCTCCTCTGGAGGCTTTTGGAGACTTAAAAGTGTCAGGTGGTGACCTGGCAGGTGTCGGGTGCTGGCAGACATGTGATTTTGGTGGTTTCCTGAACGTTCGTGACTTCTGCGTCCAGACTCCAGACCACCCTGGTCCGAAATCGACCGGACAGGCTCCCCCTGCAGTCGGAGCGGCGTCCGCGGGGTCAGGGGCGCCCGGCGGTTCAGGGGAATTCGGGGGGTGGACCCAACTCTGTTTTTTTCATTGAAACTTTTAACCTGCATCTCCCAATTTCTAGTTGGAAGACACGTGAAAAGACTGATGAGACTTCACGTTGAGGTGTCGTAGCTTTGAAGAGTAGCTTTGTGACTGAGAATGATTGATTCAATCAGGAGCATCCGACCCTCTGAGTGCCCTGGCTGGACTACCTTCAGTACAACCCAGGATCTCCATCCAGGACACCAATCGAAGGATGCCCGGAAGACATGTTTTCATCACCCAAGGGGTGAAAACACGAGCTGAGCCCCGAAGGACGCGGTGTGAGGGAGTCAACGATTTTTTGTTAGTCAACGATTTTTTGTTCTCATGCCTGGGGCCCAGACATGACCGGTTGATGGTCCAAAGAAGGAGGTCACTCAGGCTCTAGGTATGGCAAAAAAACAACCCCTTCCGGCCAAAACGCTGCACACGCCGGTGCAAAGATCACGTGTTGGGTTCCAAAAGATCTTGCGTTCATGTGCTTATGTGGACACATGGCACCAGCAAGTGAGCCAGTTTACTCCAGAAACAACAAGCCCATCTGCTTTCTTTGAGGATGCTTGCCTCACTGTTTGGCTTCGCCATGGTGCTTACAGAGCTGTGTATTTCTAGTGGCATCGCCAGCATCAGCAAGCCAGAATACTGAACAGTCTCCACCGCCAGTCCTCCTGGTTATACAAAATCCTTAGCAAAACGAATCCCCTACAAGTCCACCCTACACCGCCTTCGACCTCTGTAAGAGTATGACTGGAGACTCCAGTCTTTCATGAGGTAAGGTTTCCTCCTGCAGGGCATATTTCAGGGAAGGCTATTTTCCTCGTACAAGGATCATCCCTAGCGGTGTGCTGTCCGGTTACCGGCTTGTCCAGCCAGGTCACCCCAAACGGAAGCAGCTGGTACCTGGGGCCCAGACATGACCCCTGTTTTGATAGGAAGTTGGACCATATTTTGGTTGGTTGGTTGATGGTCCAAAGAAGGAGGTCACTCAGGCTCTACCCTGGAAGCCAAAGACCATTTTTATAATAGTTGATCTGGTTTTGCAGTGTAAAAACCTTAGTAAAACAATAGTGCTTCGGGAAGAACGGGCTATCAAAACCATGGTGGTATAGATCCCTTCAATGGCCAAAGCCCTTCGCTTCGCTTCAGCTTCAGCTTCGCTTCAGCTTGGGGTCCGTCCAGGTGGACTCGGAGTCCCATCAACGAGGTGCCGGCACCTGGTGGGTGGGGCCGCTGGGGGCGGTAGAAGTGGTGAGAAGTGGAGGAGGAAGTCGGGTCCAAAGGAGTGCTTGAACCTCACCCAGCGGCTTTTGGGGTCGAGTGCGTCAATCACCCATCGGTTTGTGGTGCTTTGCCGAGAGCATCCTCGGTTCAGCTGCGGATAACAGCTATGCCGCTGAGAGAGACCTTCTCCCTGATTTCGGCGGCAACGGATGTTTGGCACGAACGGCTGATCTCGTCGGTGGCAAACGTGTTCAGTGCCTCAGTGCCGCGACCTCGATGGCATCTCGCTGCGCGACCTCGATGGCATCACGCCACGCACGAGAGGTTTTTCACAGCTGGTCTTGTCGCCCATCCCATATGTACCACAGCCGGTCCGAACGTGAAGCGACCTCTCAACCGGACTGGGAGGAACTGAATTGGGAGACGGCCAGTCAGCAACGGTCACCGTTGCGCGGAAGTTGGCATGTCGAGTATAGGCAGCATCTCGATGCAGAGAGCTCACCGGCACCGACTGACGCCCAGACCGGCACCACGCTGCGGGGACGGAGCTTTTTGCGAGTGGACCGAGGTGTCCAAAGCCTTAAGCCGTCGAACACCGTCTCCCCCCCGTTCCCGGAAGACTTAAGACGTTGTGGCACCTGGCTCGAACCCTCAGCACGGAACGTGGAACGTGGACGACTTGCCGCGGAGGGCGATGGAAGCAGCAGACATGGTGGGCGAGCCCGTTGGAGGCAGCCGCCCCAGGGGCTGCCATGCCCGGGCCTCTTTGAGTCTGTCGTTCGGGTCTGTCGGAGGGATCTGTGCTTCTTTGTGTGATACGTTTTGATACCCACAAAGCATTCCCTACAAGTCAGTTGGACCTCATGAAAGCATGGAGATGGTCATACATCGGTCACTTGCGGTCAGAAGTGCGCCCACGGCGGACTGGAGACGGTCATACAAAACGATAGGGAAAAGACCAGGCTTTACTGGGTCAAACAGGACGAACGTAGGGATTGGACAGTTACCAGCACCTTCCAACACGTCTCCTCTGGAGGCCTTTGTAGACTCAAAAGTCGCAGGTGGTGACCTGTCGGAGGGTCCTGGTAGGTTTGCCCTGTGATTGCCGAGAACTATTGGAGTCAAGCCAGCTGCAAAAGTCTTGCGCAGGGTCATTGAAGGGAATTTGCCTTGAGGCAACTCCAAAGAATGTCATGACAGAATGGAAAGCGCGTGAAAGCTGAACCAAATTGGATATGTTTCTTTTCCGTTTTCTATCAAGGATGGCGAAGGACACTTTGCTTGGGACGCTGCCGACAGTTCCTGCCAAGGATGGGTACAGTCATGGCAGAATGAAGCTTCACAGTGACCGAACTTGAGATTCCAGGATAAGGTCACTTAGGCCTGTAAAAGGTCACTGGACACTCCAAAGAGGTCACGCAGCAGATCCTGGTGCTTGAAGTTGATGTTCTTCTCTGTGGATGCTGAAGGAGATGCGTCTTCACCGACCTTCGATGCGTCTTCGATGAGACTCTCTGGAGCCCTTTTTCCCCTTCGTCCCATGCCATGCCATGCCCCAAGAACGCCCCGAGGACCCAGCACTTCGATCGATTGATCTTCATGCCTCCGCCATGGACCTGCCTTCACGAAGGGCTGAATTGGTGGAACCCCAGTCACCACCCGAAATTAAAGGCTGTTTCCACAAACAACCACTTGCTATGTAAAGGACCTTCAATGCCGGAACATCCAATTGTTTCTGCTTGAGACTGGGGTTCTAGTTATGGATGAAGTTTAGCAGAAGCATCTACACGTCGTTGGTTTCGATCCACCCTTCGAAACGGAAAAAACGAAGGAACGAGCGCACCCAGGATCACCGAGCGCACATCGGCGCAAAAGAGCGGGGAATGGGTCAGGTCGCAGGTAGATGAACAGGTCAGTCTCCTGGTGTCAGCGGGCCGAAAGGTTTGCCATGAACAGTTACAGTAAAGGCATTCACATACCAGGACCCTCCGTTCGCCAGGCTGTGGCCTGGGACCCTAACAGGTGGTGAACCTGGGCACCGGACTTGCCACCAAGAAACACCTGTTGGAGGGTCCAGATACCAAAACCATGATTTTTTTGCTTGAGAAAGAACTACCAGCAACCCAACTCAGTTCGGTGCTTCCTGTGTTTCCAAGTCCGGTGCCCAGGTTCACCACCTGTGCTCGGGTCTCCAAACAGCTTGTTGGAGGGTCCGGGTAGGCTTTTGGGGCATGGTTGCTGCCCTAAGGATCCTTGACCCTCCTGAGAAGGGGTTGAACCCTCTATAACAAGGGTTTGTACCCTCCAAACCCTCGTTTTGTTTCGGGTGCGGATCCTTAGCGTGGGGGATTTCTGGTGCCAAGCTCTCTTTACGCCGTCCCGGTGCCGCTGAGGCGACCATGACGAGCCGCAAGGCGCCCGTGCCGGCGGTGCCGCCGCTGGCGTCTGCTTCAGGTGGGGCCGGGCGCCGCGCGGCGCGGGCTTCGGTATGACTGGACCCGGCACCCAGTCCCACCGAAGCTCTCAGGTTCGGTACGACTGGCAGATGGGGTGGGATGCGCCGACGACCGGTGGATCGGTCGGAGGGCTTTGGTAGGTGGAGAAGGTGGAGGATTTGCTGGTTTGACTTGGACACTTTTGTGCTGACCAAAATCACCAACGCATCAGAGGATTTTTCCCCGCCTCCCCCTCGTCCCCCTCGTGGTGTCTTTGCGGGAAACGAAGTGGAAAAACCAGTCATCCTCAGGGCTCGGCGCAGGAGGCGAGCTCCGCCCGGGCGTCCTCCCTCCTGCACCGTCTTGTTCGGGCCAGGCGCAGCGCCCTCAGATGCTGAGTTGTTGGGCGACACTGGCATCGAAGTCGTCGACGTCTGAGCAGCGGACGCAGCGGCGGGTGGCGTGCGCATTGAGCTGCACTCAATTGGCAAGAGCTCAATTCGTTGTGGACCTTTGCTGATTTGAAGGTTCTTATCTTCGGAAAGTGTTCCTTTTCCTAATCACATCAAACATCCTGTGATTGTTGCAACATGCTGCTAACAATTGTGCACTTCGAGGCGCTCAAACCTAGATGTATTGGGCCTTGGAGGCTGTTTTGGGAGACTTGTTTTGGCAATCTTCAGGTTTCAGACGTTTCAGATTTCGTGGCCGCTCGCCACGTTTTGGGGTGACCTTGATCTGCAACATTGTGTGACCTTGATGTGCACATTTCATGGCTTGCCACGTGTTGGTGCCATTTTGTGGACACGAACGCCTGCCACCGCCACCGCCACCCCAACCACCACTGCCGACCACAGACACAAACACAAAGCACAAGCGCAAGCAGCACCACCACCGCCACTACCACCCCTTAATGAAAACGGTCACTGCAATGTTCCTCTTTCCACCGCCGCCCTCGCCGCCCGCCGTGGTGAATTGATACCATCCACACGCCTGCGCGGCGCGGGGAGGATCGATCCTAGTCGTCTTGGGCAGGTCCTCGCATTATATCCGAACACTTGGCCGTGGTTCATTTCATTTGCAGGAAACCATCCGCATGAGACATGTTTCGTTCGTTTTTTGGGGCTAAATGATGCCCACTCTGGGCACACTAAGCACACCATAAAAGAACTCCTGGCGTCTAGCGTTGGTCGTCGTTCGTTTTTGTCAACTACAGTGACATTTCTGGTGAGGGCGCTGCCCAAGCGGATTGGAATGGACAACTCATAGATTTGCTAGCAGCGATGGCGGATAGGGGTTCCTATGTCCTGGTTCCATTTCGGACTGTTTCGTTGTGACCGCTTCCTTTGCCCTCAGTTGAATTGAGGAAATGCCCCTCCAAACCAACTTAAGGGACAACTGAGACAACTGGAATAGGAGAATCTTTCTGCACACCGATGTATGTGTTACTCTGTTTGGGGCTGGTGAGGTCTTCCTTTTCTTTTCTTTTTCATCCACCCTGGTGTGAGAGAAATGCTTCATGTGGACCAGCCAAAGGGGGCTCTTCCTGAGCCTATGAGGGTTTTGGAGGTTGGACCCTAGCCTTCCGTTTGACAAGGACGAACGTCGGATGGGTTGACCTGGTAGTAGACAGTGTCGAATCTGGAGCAAAACAGCTTTGTGGCTCGGTCAAGACGTCGGAATCGCAGGGCTAAGGCTCATGTTTGGGAAGGGTCAAGAAGGCAAGAACGCTGTTGAGAGGAGGCTTGACATGTGTTTCTGGACTGGGGGAGGCTCAGTTTGGGGCAGTCAAACACGGAAACACTCCGACTGGGACGGAACCGATTGCGCGGAGTTCGTCCAGTCCGATCTGTTTCTTTTCTCCTTGAAGTCAAGGAAGTTCCCAGAGTCAGGAAGTTCCACTGGGACTGTGGAGTTGCATCCAGACTTGTTTCTGCCCCGTTCCACTGGAGTTTCCCAGGTTTCGACTGTACCTTCAGGTCCCCACGTTCCACGCCGAACCGCCACAGCTGCTGCTGGAATCGGCCGGGGGCCGCGGAGGCGGAGGGATTCTCGGTCCGACCAAAAGAGCCGGTGGAAAGAACTTGGGACTTGAGAAGGGTAAGGTTCACTCTTGAATCAATCAAGAACTCTTCTGAAGTACATGGAATTGTAACACCTCTTACATAATTATGTGTGATTCATATTGGGGGTAAAACATCCTCAAGCCAGGGCGTGTCTAATTATGGCATATTAGACTTAGAGCCCCTTAGAGGTTAAGGGGTATCCATTAACCACCCCTTAGGGGGTCCTGGAAGAGTGTACATTCATTTCAATTCCCAGTTCGGCAGAAGCCCAGTTCCGCAGAAGCAGGAAGATCAGTCCTAGATCGAGCGATCGACGACGTTCCGGAAACTCAGTCCCAGCCAGAAACAAATGGATGCTTGCCCAAAAAACCGCTTGTTATGCGAAGGATCCCAATGGGGCTGGAGGTTTCCTCCAAGGTCGGAGGCCCGTTCGACCTTCGATCGATTTTCAGAAGGTCTGGGTCGCTGGTTGGGTCACTGGAATCCCTCCAACCTCCGCGTTCTCTCGCAGCTCCGACCTCGCGCGGCCCCTCATCCAGATCGTTGGACCGGGCGGTTCCGGGCGAGAGGAGCGGTTCGTGGCCCCTCCCGCGGGAGGGGAACCTGGAATGATTTCGTCGCTTGGCCCCAAAAAGGGAGCGACGGCAGCGGCAGTGGCCAGGGTTTCAAGGAGCTCTCCTCGGGGGGTTGGGACATGGTGGTGGCCGGGATGTAGTTCAAAGCAGCGCGGTCTCAGAGTGTGTGTCCTTAAAGGACTTTCATAGGGGATGAAGAGGTGTCTGAGATTTTGGGAGCCAGCATTCCTTGATTCCCAACAGAGGTGAATAGTGACCAGGTCACGAGTCGGACCCGGAAAACCTGGGGGGTGCCGAAGGTTCGGATAGTCGAGTTCATTCGGGTCCTGACCCACCTCTGTTGGTTCCTGCCCCCCCGTTTTTCGATGTTTTCTCGAATCTTCACAGCTCCTGATCCCTGATCCCTGATGGCAGCAGCTCCTTCGGTTCTTGGGGTTGAAGAGTCCAATGGTTCATGTTTCAACACAGCAATTCTTGCAAGACCAGTGGTGATTGCCTGCCTTCAAAAATGGTCTCCTGTTCTTGGCTCACAGACTATGCAAGCCCGCTTCTCAAAGCTTCGAATTTGGAGCTGGTCACAAAGACCCAATTCATGCAACGGAGCACTGGTGCAAACTCTGCCGGTGCAGATGCCGCGGCATCTGCCGCGGTCGCTAGCGGCGCTCGCATGAAGGATGGCGCTGGGGCTTTTGTGTTGGACACCTTTGCGATTTGGCTTTGTGTCTTGGCAGTTTGTCGTGTCGAGGCTTCAAACTCTCCCGAATGACGCGCCTTCTGCCATCGTGCGGGTCACATGAGCAACAAGTTTTTTTCGGTCTTTCCCAGGCGAAGAACATCCGGTCAGGGCTTTCCGTGGTGCCACGGAGGTTTGGGGAGATCGGACGGTTCTGGGAGGAAAGAGTTGGACGACTGAAGTCCAGGAACCGACGATCTTTTGACCTGAAGTAGAGGAAGTTCCTGGACGACGGGGCCACCGAATTCGTCAGACCATTCTTTTGATGGTCGACTGGACGAAACCAGGGTGGGTGGAAACCAGGAACCAACTAAGAGCAGTTCGGCGCTGAACTCCACACCGTACTCAACAGGCCTCATCCGTGAGACCGTTTGGAGCATCCTCATCCCACCTCCACCTGCTTCGCACTTGCTTCGCCCCCAGACCGGAGGTTGTTCGCGCTTGGACATCTCCATGGACCGCGGGGCGATGCAAACCTTCAAAGCCAAATTGGTCACGGAGACCCCAGCAGTGGACCGTGAGAAACCCTTGGCCTTCCACTTCAGCTGGGTGCGGGGGGGGGGTCGGGATGGATGGTGGAGGATGATGGAGGATGAGGATGAGTGGATGTTGGTCAATGGGATGGCTCAAGAGGAGGTTTTCTTTTGTCCTCAAACAGCGTGCTTGCTGCGAATCTATATCGAATGGGCTTTCATGTCATGAGATGGACTGGCCGTGGCTGTTGAAAGCAACGAACAATTGAACAAAGTGCTGTCAACGGGGTCGACGCTAAGGTGTTTTTATGTGACACGGGGTCCGGTCTGGAAGCTTTTGGGGTCAGAACACACGGGATGAGTGCAAGCACTTAAGAGCATGCTTTTTGCCATGCTCGGGAGGCGGACTTTCTTCCTTTACCTGAAGCTCATTTGGAGAATCCCCTTCCGAAGAAGCCCAGCCAGAGCTTGCATGTGATTCAGGAGTGGCGATCGTGGCAACCGCGAATCGGTCGTTGGTACTGACATTCTTTTCGGAAGACAGTTCCCTGAAGCTCATCGTCTTTAAGTCTTCAAACCACCTCTTGGACGAGTGGAGGACATGGTCGACAGCGGCCAAAGAGTTGAGACATCACTTTCTTCGTTTGGCTTTGCCGTCTCGATGGCTTTGTTTCTGACTCATGTGGGTTTTGTCAACCGACACGACACTGTGGAGGTGCAATGGTGCAAGTGATGCTACGGAGAGAGATTTCGCATGGGCAAAAGCACCGATTTTGGATGTTATTTTCGAGCAGAGGGCGGTCCAGCTGTCACCACTCATGCCGTCATACTCATTCCGTTATAAGTCCATACTTGAACATCATCTCCAATCCATGATGGGTAGAGGATGTGTTACTTTCTACTCAAGGAGGTGACTGGCAAGCCCGATACATTTCTACACCACCGTTATTGGAACTCTATGCAATCCCATATTGGTACTTCTCAAATGGAAAACAACGCAAACAACCTCGTGTGTTCATACTGATATATATATACCTTATATATATATGACTCGGCCGCCGTCGGCGGTGCAAAGTCTTTGGAGTTCCAACACTTGTTCTGTTGACCGGATCCGTCGACGATTCAACTGCTCGGCGCGGCGTTTTCTTCTGACTCGCCCCGTGCAAGAGGTTTGATTCATCAAAGGAACCAAGCCTGAAATCATATTGAAGGGGCTCTACAATCCATGTCTGAGGGGTGTGGTTTAGAGAATTCAAGAGTCTACAGTCTACATGACCCATTCTCAATCCCGTTCTTTCCACTACTACCAAATTTCATGCCTCTCTTTCCTGTCTTGTGGTCTATATTCATCCGCGGCCCACGAACGTCTGGTCACTGTCACAGCTCCTTTCGATTCTCAAGTCGACGGCCTTTGGCCGGTCGAAGGGAAGAAAAGAAGAAGAGAAGAAGAGATGCTGCCCTTGCGCCCCCACCCCTTTCAAAAATCACAACTTCCACCATCCGACAGAAACTGGTCATCAATGGTTCGACCTCAGTCCAGGCATGGGCCCTTCAAAGACCCTCTCCACAACCAAGAGAGGTTGAGAGACCATATAGGACCCTGTAGTGGGTACATATGGGATGGGCTATAGGGCTGTTCCACCTCTCTTGGAAGAGGAGACCCGTGGCTGTTCTGCCAGGATGCTGGTTTTCTTTGTTCCAGGTAACTGGCACATGGGTGGCACAGAACTGCGCAGGGGATCCGCGGACTTGGGTGAGACCCTTGCCCGGTGCCCATTGCATCAACCCGGTCTGGACTTCCCATGTGAGCCTGACTTGGGACCCATGACCTCGTGTGACTCTCAGGGGGTTTTTCCATGCCGTTCGTTGGCGACACGATCGACTCTCCAGGAGAGCCGTGAAGAGAAAGATGAGAAGGCGGGGTGGTGAGCTTCGGTGAGGTCCGCCCAGATGCTCCGTGAGTACTTCTCGTCCCTCAAAACCTATACCAGCACCCTCCAAGCCCGGTGGTTTTTGGACACCCCGTTCCTCACCTCTTTACAAGACTATTTATAGACACCTCGAGTTCGGAGGGTTGTGATAGGGATTCGTTCCGGCCCAGGGTGGCCTTCAGAAATTCGAATGCAGGGGTCATCCAGGGTCGTCCCCACAGCCGGCCGGAGGTCCCCGCAGTCCGGAGGTCCCGACGCTCTAGGTGGATCAACAACCACCCCACGGGAATCCGGAGGGATCTGGAGAGGTTTTGGCAGTCTTAGTAGAAGTTGTACTGTACCCCAGACGCTCCATGGGACTGCCACAAAATGCCTATTAGGGTGGTTTTGGGGGTCAATGTAGGCATATTGTAGGCCTTCCGACCGCCCAACCCGGGGGGGGGGGGGGCCCAGCTCGGGGCGTCGATCCAATCCTTGGGGTGTAAGTGTAAGTGCGGTATTCCCACACCCCGAACTGAAGGTCATGGGTTTGGGTCCGGACCCCGGTTGACAGGTCCAGACCCAAACATCTCCAAACACGAAGGCGAAAGACAGAATGTTTACCATGTGGCAGAAGCTCGAGGGACTCGAGACTCAGCGACCGCCCTCCCCACCGCCCTGCCACCGCCGCAGGTGTTTCCTTCGAGCCGGAAGATGCAAGTCATCATGAAGAAGCAAAGCTCCATTCCCGACAAAGCAAGTTTGGTGGATGGCCGGAGGAAGGAGCACGTCTTGCAAGAGTTGTGCTCTTTGCTGACCCAGGCGCACGCGCTGCACGTCCGTTTGGTGTGGCATGTTCGATCCAAGCGGATCCTCTATAACAAGGGGTCGAACCCTCTAGTTCACCAGGGTTTGGGGCCCCTCCAAAACCCTCGTTTGAGGGTGCTTACAGTCGAAGCAGATCCTCCGTGACAGGTCGAGCGTCCGCGCAGGAACGGACCTGATGTTTTTGCAGATGGATGTTGGTCCACAAAGTAAAACCTCACTCACTATGTTAGCAGTCACAGTGGTTTTCAGTCCCATCCAGGGGCTGTGGATGTGACAGGGGCACCCCGACTTCCTCCGTTCGTTCGGCACCCCGTCTTGTGACTGCTGGTAGCGGGTTTTAATACATTGTTATACTCAGTCTTTGGAACTCTATAGGGAAACGAAAAAGGTCCATGTCTTCAGTGTTGTTGGGGGCAGGATCGGCTCTGGCTCGCAGGTGGTGCCACCGGTTCACTGTCTACGTGGCGCCCGAACGATTCATCTGGTGCAGGCTGGGTGGTGAAGCTGTGGGTTTTGCCAGACCTCGATCTTTCAACTATACAATGACAACATGTCTGCCGAACTTCAATGAATAAAACCAGCCAACTTCGGCGGAGCTTTTGCGTAGTTGGAAGATCAATCTAGGTATGGGTAGAGAGATTCCAGACCGTACAAGTCCAGTCTGACCCAGGTCCAAACCTAGTCTTTGACCTCCGTAAGACTCCAACAGTTCTTACGCTAGTAGAAAAGCAGGTGTGCTTATAGATCGCTGTTCCGCGAGGCCGTGTCCGGCTAATTCGTTGCTATTTACAGAACATTCATGCCTCGCGAAAGCCTCGAAGTGCATTTTGACTGCGCAGGCTCGCAGAATCTGGGGGCATGGGGCGGGTGCTTCTAACGACTGCGCTCTCGTTGTGGCGCCGTGCGCATTTTCGCATATGATGGTGACTCTTCGTGGCAGACGCAAGGGAAACCTCGTGTTTTGGTGCTTGAAAGTCGACTTTTCGTGACAGGTGCAAGGGATCCGAGCTGTTTTACTTCAGTTTTCGTGGCAGGTGCAGCGCTTTGGACACGGTGGTGATCGTCGAGGAGCTCAGATTTCGTGACAGGTGCAGTGAATCGAGACTTTTGGACATGTGGCTCGTTTGCAGATTTCGTGGCAGGCACAGCACTCTGTGACCCTCGATGTGCAGATTTCGTGGCAGGTGCAGCACTTTGTGAACCTCGAAGTGCAGATTTCGTGGCAGGAGCAGCACTTGGTGAACCTGAAGGTGCAGATTTCGTTGCAGGCGCAGCACTTGGTGAACCTCGAAGTGCAGATTTCGTGACAGGCACAGCGCTTTGCGAACCTCGAAGTGCAGATTCCGTGGCAGGCACAGCACTCGGTGAACCTCGAAGTGCAGATTGCGTGGCAAGTGCAGATTTCGTGGCAGGCACAGCGCTTGGTGAACCTCGAAGTGCAGATTTCGTGGCAGGCACTGCACTTGGTGAACCTCGAAGTGCAGATTTCGTGGCAGGTGCAGCACTTGGTGAACCTCGATGTGCAGATTTCGTGGCAGGCACAGCGCTTGCAGCACTTGGTGAACCTGAAGGTGCAGATTTCGTTGCAGGCACAGCACTTGGTGAACCTCGAAGTGCAGATTTCGTGGCAGCCGTAGTACTTTGTGAACCTCGAAGTGATTTCGTGGCAGGTGCAGTACTTTGTGAACCTCGAAGTCTTTGTGTTCTCAGATGCTCACTCTCACTCTCACTCCCACTCACACTCACACTCACTCACTCATCACCGCCGCCACCGTCACCACGATCCCCACCTTGATCACCACCATCACCTCTCTGGACCATGCGTCTAGATCTCTAGACTTTCTGCTTATAGACGTCACACAGCCTCACACTGTTTGGGGTCTCTTGCCGGGATAATGTTTTTGTATGACCAACTCCAGTACTATTTCATGAAGTCATTGAACTCCTGACAGGGCACGGTAGGGAGAGGTGGGAAACAAAGATCGAGCTCGACATGATGTCATAATCTGAATTCATCTGACATCACTTAGACTTAAACAGCAGACCACATGACCCACATGAACATGATGGGAACCTGTGTGTGGATGCTCCGTGTTGGTTTGGTGATGACATCTCGGTATGTGTGCGGCGAGCAGTCCTGTGATGCGAGAAAGTATGCGAGAGCGTCACCCGAGAGTCACCCACCAGAAATCCTCCTGTGACACCTTCTTTTTCGAAGAAAACATCGCCGAGTCGCTCGTGCGATGTGCCAGGCACGTTCACACCTTTCAAAGCTGAACTTTCTGACCAAAGTCGTGAAGATGGGAAAATTCTTTGCATTGCCCGAAGCGGAAACCAGAGTCAGCACCGTCAGCATGGTCATGGATAGTTTGCCACCAGTCTTAGAGCTCCAGCTGCACCGGACGTCCGGTCCGCGTCTTTCTCCGTTCCGGACCGGACCTCCACCGGTCCGGGTCGCGTCACCACTGCGACCCTTCGGACCAAATGTTTCAGGGACAGAGCATCCCTGCGATTGGCCTGGCCCACCCTTGTTTTTTGATAGTCTCCTGGATCTTCCAACGGTGTCAAATTGATGTTTTTCCATCTATAAAACCAGCCAAAAAACAAAAATTTGGCACAGTTGGAGGATCTGCTTAACCGAACAACCATTGTTTCGCTTAAGGGTTTCTACACGACGAAACCAGGGAAAAAGCACTTGAAACCTGGTCAAGGCTAGGGCGGCGAACCGGGAGATGGTTTGATGTCGCTCCCCCAACGCTTTTGTGGTATTCATATGTATACAGCAGGTCGAGGTCGCGGCAACTGGGCCGTTCAAAGAGGTCCGGCATCGTTCAAAGACAGGTAGACCGACTTCCCCAGCCAACGGTTTTGTGTTTTTTGGAAGTCTTGTTTGTAGTCCGGTTGTGGATCCAAGGAATCTTGAAAAAGGCGTGCAAAGACACTTTTAGGAAATGGGGGTTAATGGTTAAGGGTTGCATCTTGAGAGAACAAACGAAGGGTAAGCCTCATTCCAACATTTTCCGATGGCCTCCCTCATCCCTTCCGAGAGTAGCCACTCGACTGATCAGATCTGCTCAGCATGGCGGCCGTCTGTGTCGAAGGAAAGCCCCAACGCGGATGACAAGGGCTTCTTCAAACACCGTCCCCGAGCACGTCCTACGTGCTTGGAGGCGGGATCCTGAAGACTTGAAAGAGGGTTGGGGAGGTGGGGTGGGTTGGGTTCTCTCGTTGGGTCATGGAGGCAGGCAGTGATTGGATGGTGAAGCTGGCAGCATCAAGGGGCTCACTGGTCGCTACCGGTGGTGCTGATTTTTCCCTTTTGGGGCTATTCTTGAGCCAGAAAGCCACGGCTTTCTATCCGGTGGTTGTGGCTCTTGCGATTCCTCACATGTGCTGTTCGGAAGCATCCTGCGCTTGTATGCAAAGCGATTCTGGTTCTGCTTGCTGCGTTGAGGGCTCGTAGGCCTTGGTCGCCCACTGGACTCCAGGCATGGCCAGCTGCCCAGATCATGACGCAGATTCGGATGAAGAAGCAGCCTGCGCTCGTTGATGGCAAAGAAAAGGCCGGAGCTGGGTCCGGGTGTTGGATCAATGGCTTAAATAGATCTATACCAGCACCAGGTCGACCTGCCAGGTTTCTGTAGCTGGAGACTCAAAGGTGGACCAGGTGTCGACCTGTGAAAGTAATTGGTCCGATCCAGGAGAGGGGGCGGCTGCAACAGCCAGGTGACCCCGAGGTCCAGCCAGGTGCTGGAACTGATTATATATAATTCTCCTGCGTTGGGTGCTCACCAGTTTGGTGTTTGATGCTTCACAACTCCCCACCTCAACTCCCCACCTCTTGGCTTGGACACGGGCCAAGGACTCGCACGCACCTCGGCGACCCAAACGGCCCAAACCCACTGCTACATGTTCCCGACCGACTTCCAAGACCCTTCAAACCAATTGCATGACATGGTTTTTGTAACGCCAACTCAGCAGCGTTCTTCTTTCACTCAGCGTTCTTCGCTGAGTTCGCAGGCTTCTCAGGTGACTCCAGCGCTTCCTGTGCACGTGAATCGACACTTGCATGACTTGGTGGCGGAGGCCGGCGCGGCTCGGTCACGCGTTCGCGGTCGCGTGCGGCCACGCGCGGTCCCTTCGTTGTGGACGCTGGAGGCGCTGGGCGACGTGGGGAGAGTGGCAGAGAGCCAGGGTCACATGGAGAAGTTGGTCTACATGGAGAAGTTACAGGACGTCCGGATGATTTCTTTTCTTTTCTTTTTCGACAGGACCATGCTGATTCAAGATGATTCTTTTACATTTTTCTAACTCTTTCCATCATATGTTTCTGTTTCTTCAACGATTTTTTTCCCTAATTAGATTGGTGGCTTGGAGGATCCTTTTCATGAGTTCTTCGACTCCTCCGCCCAGACCTCCAGGACTGGGCGACCTCGACCTCGCGCGGCCACGCGACGGATCTGCGGCTTTCGCTGCCGAGCTTGGCCGTGAGCGTCTTCCAAGGTCCAGCGTCGAGGTCAAAGAGCCTTCACCGTTGCTTCGCGGCGCAGCTGAAGTCGCCCACGACCTTGGCCGCTCGACTTTGGAGCCGGGGCAGGTGCTGGGGGGGAAGTGGAGCTTAGATGCAAAAGTGGAGTTACCCAGATGCTCCATGAGAAAGAACCCGCCCCTTCCCGGCCCCTCAAAAGCGATCGGGATTGGTTCGGATTTGGACCCTCCATATGAGGCTTCAGGGACTCCAGGGTCGCGTCTGGGTAAGAGCAAAACACACACCAACAGCGCTCCACGCTCGCTCGGCTCCTCCTGCGCACTTACCCCCAGTCCGAGGTATTGGGTGGGAAAGATGTATACAGCTAGCAGCTGCAGTGTGCCTTTTGTCAGGGACCCAAAACCGCCGGCATGGCCCAGCAAAGCAAGCGAACTGGCTCAAACGCCTTGAGCAAGGTCATGCAACATCCATATCAAAGCCACGGCCACGCGGCTTTTCACGGAGCGCGTTTCACGACCAACCGTGGCGCCTCTTCTTTTGATTTCGTCCCTCCCCCCCCCCCCCGCCGTGCTCCGCGAGGTCCTGCCAGCGACCGCCATGTCCGGCGCGCAGCTCTGCGGACGCTGGGCGAGTCGCGCCGAGCGCGCCGAGCGGCGGGCGGGCGCCGTGGGCGCCGTCGTTCGTGCAGAGACGACTGTGGAGGTCTCGGGAGTGTTTGTGACGGGCTGTGAGGAGGGAAGGTCTGTGCTCATGGGAACCTCGCGAAGAGTGAACGGTGCAAGAGACTATGAGATGAGAAGTCTGAAAGGAAGGAAACATGATGACACATTTCACAGGGTGGTTTGTTTTTGACATCCTCACTGCGTGTTTCTCTTGAATCTGACTTCTTCTGCCGGTCTGCTTTTTGCCGGAGTTTGTGCTATTGATGATCTTGGGGTGGATGTTCTTGGCTCCTCTTCCCAACTGCTCAAGTCTTGAACAAGTGGCACAAGTGGCGGGTAGTCCTCATCAACTTGTTTCTGCGTCGACTCCGGTGTTCATAGTGACCTGGCTCGACCAGCGTTTCCCTGCGACGTTGGAGCACCAAGAAGGAACTGGCGTGACCGTCCGTTCTTTTCAGCCTTTCTTTCCAGGTGTGAACTGGTTCATGTGCGAAGTCCAGGAACCGACTATTTGTTCCAACAGAGGTTAAGTGACCTTATAGGACCCTACAGGGGTACCTATAGCATAGTCTAGTTCGGGTTCTTCAACCTCTGTTGGCACCACCCAACATCTTCGGGAACTTCCTAAGTTCCGACTGGGTCATCGGGTCCAGTCGACTTGGACCGAAGATGTCGACGTTCTTTCTTCACACCCCCGAACCAACCGCTGGATTTCTTCTGTTCCATCCCGCGTTCCATCCACACCGCGCAGGCGGGAGACTTGGGTTGGCGCAGCGACACGGCCGACGTGGTGGGCCTCGACCCTGAAGCTCGGTCGAGCGTCGCGAGCTCCGAGCGACGTTGGAGTGGGAGGAAAAGGACGGTTTGGACAGGGTTTGAGAGAGGATCTCATCCGCGTTTCTTTTTTTAACTCCAAAAGGGGTTGGTGCAGGATTTACCCCAAATTGGGTTACCAGCACCTTCCAACAGGTCTCCGAAATGGAGGCTTTTGTAGACTTGAAAGTCGCAGGTGGTGACCTGTTGGAAGGTCCTGGTAGTGAAGAACTCTATAGTTTTGTCAGGATGAACCCTAACTTGCGATGGCCGTGCCCGGCACGGCCAGCGAGAGAGGTGTTTGGAACTTGAGAACGCTGGAGTCGCCCCTTTGATTACACAAAGGGCCCCTTTCCATGCCGGGGAACTCGGGATGTCTGTTATAGCCCGATTGTAGACCAGCACCCGACTTCACAGGTGCTTCCTGGTGACAACAGGTGCCCAGAAACCACTTGTTAGGGTCTTCAAACAACCTGTTCGAAGGTGCTGGGAGGTTTTCAGGGGATCAGGGCCCCTTTCCATTCACCACCCCTCAAAAGGGCCGGGGGCCGGTCTCAGGCTGGTCGATGGTCTCAGCCGCACGTGCAGTTTTCTGCGCGCGCGTTTGGTTTCGAGCAGACGAAGACACGACATCCATCGAATGGATCAGACTGACGCTCATTCCGTCCGGTCCCAAGTGGATGAAGTTGAAGCATCACCAGCTTACCGCTAACCCATCAAAGACACGACTAATGAGACTGCCATATATGCCGATCAGTTGGGGTGGTGCCAGGGGGGTCAATGGGGCGGCATATATAGCAGTCCCATTAGTCGTGTCTGGGCATCAAAGAACTGGACACATTTGGAGACCTAGATCTACATGAGCAGCTCCTCATAGTACGAGATGTTCTCGTATGGCACTCTCTCCAGACCCGTCCCACACGCCATTTGGCGTCCGGACCTGAACCTTTGAGGTTCTGATTGCGGGGTTCACCCAAGGTCAAGGTCAAGGTCAAGTGAGTCCTGGTCGAGTCACTCAGGTTTTTTTCCTGTTTTTTTGGAGTGTCACGTGAGTCTTTTAGGGGGTTGGTTGGGGTGACCTGTGCAATTCATCACTGGCCCCAATGCTCTTTCATCGTTTTTTGGGTCGAGGATTTGGCCAGGCTGGGGCCAGCATGAGAGAACCCGCCACTGGTCTTCTTCGGTCAGCGCTCGGGAGCCGTTTGGGGCTCTCCCAACCGGACGATCGCCGTCACGTTGGACTTCTTTCGGTGTCACGTCGATCCTGCCGGTCACGTCGGATGCTGGTCACTTCGACAGCCAGCCGTGAAGTGAAGGCAAACCTGGCATGTCGTTGGTTTTTTCGGGTGCGGTCACACCCGACAACACCTGAGACCAAAAGAGGGGTGCCACGACCGGGAAGGTCACGCCGCGCAACCTGAGGAGAACAGGTTGACTCTGGTGGTCATGGTCATGGCGCTCTTCGGCATCCTGACGGACGACGATCGAACTGGTTCGGGGACACCGGGGCTGCAGATTTTGCGCCCCCCACGGCAGGAAGAGCTCGATTGTGTGCCAGATGTGGGGAAGGTGCTCCTGAAGCTTCGACTTGAGGGCTCGAAAGACTCGAAGCTTTGCAAGTCCCGACTTGCTGGTCTTCGTTTCAGGGCAAGTGCTTCAGTGAAGATGGCCTCTCAGCTGTCAGCTGGCGTTGGTTGACCCTGTTGAGCATATGCCAGCTGGGGGGGGTTTTCCAACCGAGCCATGTAGTCCATTGAGCCAGACTGTGTTCTGACAACAAACGGGGGGAAACACTCTCGAGGAGCACCTGTGGCCGCCCCACCCAGAGCACCTCCGAGTAGAGAAGTTTCAGGAATTGACCTTTCGCGACAAACTTCGTGACAAGTGGATTTCGCGGAAATTTGGGGGTCCGCCATCACCTTAATATGGACTCTTGATTAGTAAGACTCCGATATGAAGAATATTTCCAATTCAACTGGGTGGGTATTTCTCACGCACATCCAGACTTTCTCACGCACATGTATTTTTCCACGATACAAGAAACAGGCTACATCAAGTTTGACGCGCCTGGGCTTTACCTCCGATCACGAAGGGGGGTTGTCTCGACGCCCACGGTTGCCAAATGCGGAGGCTACATACACTTATATACATTCATGATATGCTTAAGACGATGCCTCACAACCCACCATTCCATACGGATTTTTTGGCACCAGAGCTCCCGCCGCACCCTGATCCTCCACCATGGCCTAACTGGCCAGAAGTCACGCCGTCCAAGCGTGATGCCTTCGTACAACACGTAAGATATGCCTTATTCAAGAAGAAAGATTTCGATACCATACAACATCCTGATGCCCCATGAATTCTTGACCTGCATTATATAATTAGGAATTACGGAGTCATGGCCCATACGCAACCACCAGATAATGGGCCTTGACGTGCCTTCGAGTGTGGGTGCCACCTTCACCCAATCACCTACCAAGGTGCGACATGACCTGTAGAAAATCTTTGCCCCACCACCATTTTGCTTTGTTTACAATTAGGCCAAGCTGCATATCCGGTCGCTCTGCGCCCGCAGAGGACAGAGCAACTTAGAATATCGGCACGGTCTTTTAATTAAATTTGAGCAGATTTGTGTCCATCGCTTTCGCCTTCCTGGTCCCATGCGTTTGCCCATGTTCGTAGCCTTGTTCCGTAGGTGTATATATCTCAGTTCACTTGATCTTTTTTTTTGTACAGCGTAGAGCCACATCCTGTTCACCTAACGTGGAAATGGGCCCTGGGCGATGGGGGAGTCCATGCCGAGTCGGGAGGCTGACCCCCTGCGGAACTCTGGCCTTTGATCCGACACTGCCGACAATTGAAACGGCGAACCAGGAGGAGGAAACACCTTCTGTGACGAACAGACGGTTGTTTCGTTTCCCCTTCCCGAACCAAAGGGCGCGTGTCCGTGGTGATGGCCTCGGATGCGGAGACGTGCGAAGCCTTGGACCGTCTCCCCGACGCAAACCGGTCTCGTTGGAACATCGGTCGCGTCGGGGCGCCAAGGACACCACTGGACCTCCGACCGCCTCGTGGGAAGTGAAGGGAGGCTTTCACCTCTCTGCCAGGTGGATGGAAAGGGTGGCTCGGTGGTTACAACTGGGAGACTGGGGTTTCTGGCTGCTAGCCTCGAAACGAACACGTAGTGCAACATTTCTGACGAACATCATCTATAAAAACCAGCCGTTTGTTCGGCAGACATGATGGCTGGCATAGTTGGAAGATCTAGGTACGTTGATGTGCGTTGTACTTACTGGGAGAACCTATATATTTGGTCGAAGTAGATCACTCCTGAAAAAAACGAGGCGATGAGTCTCTGTCTCTGTCCGGGGTTCCCGCTTCACCAAGATGAAACTTCACTGTTTGATTTGTAAGCTCTGAATTCCACTGTGCTACATTCCACTGTTTTCACCAACATCAAAATTCCCATTCGGCCTGTTCCTTGCAGAAAGCTTCTACCAAAGCCCTAGGCCGTGAACATGTTGAAGCTCCCCGCACCTCCAAAGTCTTTGAGCGGAAAACCACCGAACAGGTCTCCCACCAACGAAAGCGGGGCTGTCTTCGATGTTGCAAGGCACCACGCAGAATAGGCGCACAAGGCAAGCAGAATCGGCACAGACGGACGGCGCAAGACCTCCGTCGGGCTCGCCGGCTCCCCCGAGGCCGAGGCTCCGAAACCGCGACTGCCGGAGCTCAAGGTCGAGACGACCGCGGACCGCGTGGCCGGCGTGGGCGGTCCAGACTCGGAGCTCACGGAGCTCTCCATAAGTAAGAGTCGTGTGAACTTGTACCAGGACCCTCCAAGGCCAATGGAAGCCTATAGGTAGTGTGGGGTAGTCCATTGGACACCCCTTGGAGGGTCCTGGTATGAGCAACTCCAGTATTTCATGAGGGAAACGGAACTCCGGTCACCGGATTTTGGACCTCAAATAGCACTCTTGTTGAGGCACAACGGCTGGTGGCCACTGTTTGTTGAGGTCCAACAAGGACGGTTTCCATGCTCCATGAGATTGATGTTTCATCTTCCATCCCTTAGTGTTTTCCTGAAGGCGAACCTGAGGGCTCTATAAAAATAGCCACAGCTTCTCTTGGGATACCGCAGTCACGGCCAAGTGGTTGAGGTGCGTATTGTTGAGCAGCCAGAAGAAGGGTCTCAGAGCAAGAAGCTCCACACGGAGAAGGATGTTCCTCTCTTGCGTTCGGGGAATCATCATGACTTTGCTGAAGTCCTTTGTCCTTCGTACAGCGAAGTGTCTTCTTACTGCGAAGTCTTCTCATCCTCCCAATGTCCCATGACGAATCCATGCTTTTTTGAGCCCAACCCAGGACGAATCAGCAACAAAAACACCACATCACAGTGTCAAAATGTCATTATGAGTGATCAGATCAGCCAAGCCCCCCCATCCCCTCCAACCGCCATCGCACATCACTGGCAGTCGTTGAACATCACCGTGGCTGGCTTGCCGCTTCTACGAGCTCTTCATGACTTGACGGCCAAACGCATCGGTGACATGCCTGCCCGCAGCGGTGCCCGCAGTCCCATGCCTTCCTTTCCGGCGCGACCCTTGAAGGGCAAATTGCTGGCGACCGCATTGGCGTTTCATCTCTCTTCCGTCAAGTTGAACCAGACGAAAAGCTGGGTTCTTGGGCATGTGGAGAAAAGCTGTCTGCTTCTGTGTAGGTTCAGAGCTGGCCTCAGGCCTCAAACAGATCATCTTCTTGCAAAGAGCTTTCTGACAGGATGAGCAAGTTGAGCATTTTTGCCTTGTCCTTCCATATTCGAGCCAAACTTCACACAAAAAGACTATCAGGACCCCCAAGGGGTGGTTAAATGGACACCCCTTCACTGCTTTTTGCGGCCAAACAAAAAAACACTTTTTCAATGGTCCTGCTCCAGCAATCCCCTTTCTTTTTTCCACCCTAAGAATCCGGGCCTTCAAACAGATAGGGTTTGGTTCGGCCCCGGACCCCTGCGTTTCGGTTTCGGGTCCGACCCCTGCCATGGAGAGCCCAAGGATTCTTAGGGCAAGAAAAACCTCCTCTAGTTGACCTTCTCGGTTGACCTCGAACGTTTTTTTCACCTGAAACGCTGAGGCAGATACCTCGACGGAGAGGTGGGTCGCATGTGAGCCAAAACGGAGAAGGGCCGTCCAGGCGATGATCCAGAGCGTGTCCTTGGCGGTGACAGAGCTTTGGCGGTTTTGAGTCCAGAGCATCCCTTGGATGTTTGCTTTTTGTTTTTCATATTTTTGTAAATCTTTTTTTACTGCTGTTTTTCATACTGTTTTGTTTTCTTTTTCCCTATACTGTAAGAAGACAAATGCTTATACCAGGAGTCACAAAGGCGCGATTTTTAGTTCCTAAGTGAGTGGACAATGGGCACCCCTATCCTCCAATAGTGATTCCTTTGTGACTGCTGGTAGACTTTTTTAAAAAGAAAACACACACTTATGATTGTATATGCGTACTGACTTGACAGCGGTGCCACGCGCCAGCCTAAGAAACCAAATCCTGAAAAACCAGGTGAGTGGGACTGCGCGCCTTTAGTTAAAGGCCAGAAGTCAAACTCCACGATGGGACGAGCCGACAGAATGACGACGCACGCTCTTGTCTGCCGAGTGCATTAGCCCTTTACGGAAACTTACAAATTGTTGCAGGGACGTCCAGCTGGCCAAGCTGGATATCCCATTTCACTGGTAGCTTCGTTGGACACAGTCCCAGTGAAATGCTGTGTCCCCCTGCTGAAAGAACATCAAGAAGCTGAACAATCCTACAGGATCCCTGTGCTTCCAAGGGTCACACACACACACGCCTCCCCAAAGGGAGGCATTCTTGTTGGACTGAGCTCCAGACGATGGTGGGGTGGTGAGAAACTAATTTACGAGAATCGGTGAATCTCACGAAAGGTCTGGTAGGCCGTCAGCGGTAGTCGGAGTTGGCCAATAGCATCATCATGAAGGCGAGGTGCAATGGTATGTTGGGGACGGTATGGAAAGGGGGTTCCCTCACGCGGGAATTCGTGGATATACCCAGGTGGAGCGGGAACAGGTGGGGAGGAACTCATCACTACGGCTCTAAGGCTCGACACACTCCAACGAGTCTCACAAATACTTTGACCGCTGTGGTCACCTTGTGCACTGCCAAAGTGGCTGGCTGCTTAGACCGCTGCGGTCACGTAAAGGCATGAGCCAGCTTGGAATTCAATAATCCGACAAGTCTTGGCAAATAACTTTGGCCTAGGCCACCTACGCCCGCTCTGGGCACGTGCGTTTCCACGGCATTGGAAACATAGACCAACACCCGTTCAACGGGTCCACAACTTGACAGCGGTGCCACGCCAGCCTAAGAAACCAAATCCTGAAAAACCAGGTGAGTTGGACTGCGCGCCTTTAGTTAAAGGCCAGAAGTCAAACTCCACGATGGGACGAGCCGACAGAATGACGACGTACGCTCTTGTCTGCCGAGTGCATTAGCCCTTTACGGAAACTTAAAGATTGTTGCAGGTCCAAGCTGGATGTCCCATTTCACTGGTAGCTTCGTTGGACACAGTCCCAGTGAAATGCTGGGTCCCCCTGCTGAAAGAACATCAAGAAGCTAAACAATCCTACAGGATCCCTGTGATTCCAAGGCACACGCACACACACTTAGATAAAGGCTCGCAAGAGCGAAATCAGTTGCGACATCTCCGTGAGATTAACACTTTACGTTACTGAAGCTAGACCTTGACTTGCACAACCGAAAGGTGAAAGAGCCCGCAAGAACAGAAATGTTTCAACACAGGCGCACTGGCACTTTAAAGTAACAGCGTGATAAACACAACCGGTCAAAGGTTAAAGTTGCAGGTGCGTGATTCTGGCGTCCCAGAATCATATCACATCCGATCAGCAATGTCTTTGTTAGGCAGCGATTGCTGAAAGGACCACTGCCCCCCTGCACTGCACAATGATGAAAAGAATAGTCAATCGAATTAAATCGTTACATGCCTTAGTGTGGTCGAGTTCCTTAGAGACAGGAGTTGACACACACACACACATACACACACGCACACGAAACAAATTTGCAATCGCTTGATGTTCTAAGTGGATGTCTGCGAGTATATAACTGTTGATTGTACACCAGATGGCACCCATGCAGTTTGTACTATTTTCTAAAATCTATGTCGTCAGTGCATGTCGCAATGTCCGCAGACTCACTGTCACCGCACCTTGCCAACATTCACCATCTATAGGTACACACACAGAGAGACCAGTTTTGCAGTTTTCGGAGTGTTTTTTGCAGCTCAGACTCACTGTCCATCAAATTGAGGTGGTCAAGAGACACCAGCCGTTGGAGTATGAAGTCTACATGGAAAAACTGATCTACCTGGAGAAACTGCAAGAATTGGCCACCATGAACTCGCGCACGACGGCTCTGCTCTGCGCGACGCTGAGCGTTCCGGTCGAGATCGCGGCAGGGATGGGCCTGAGCGTTCCAGTCGTTGTGAACAAGATCTCCAAGGGCCAAAGGCCGGCAAAGCCTTCGATCTTCCATCCCTCCGCGGATTTTGTGACGCTGAAGCAGCATGCGCCATTGGTCACTGGGACAAGGGACATTTTTTTTTCAATTTCAGAAGCGTCACCTGACCTCAAAAAGAACATCTCATGTTTGGTTGGTTGTCACCCTCAAACTTCCGTTTTGAATCATCAATGAACTATCCCACCTGGAAGTGATTTTTCCACTACCATCATATTGGATCCTAGGGGTCAAATGAGTCAAACTTAGACGCTCAGGGCTTGCAGCCGCTGATGCGTCCAGCTGTCTACTGTTCCGAAGACGGTGGGTCGTCCGGTGGGACCAAGGGCCCCAAAGGATCGTCAAGTTAGGACGATCCTTTGCCTGAAGTGTTCATTGCCGAAATCAGGTAATCACGAAAGGTAGCTTGAGCTACCTGAGTTCTCCTTGCTTTAGCAAAAATGTATTACAATCAGGAGTTGGGATTGTGCATTGAGTTTGGTACTGTAAGAGTTGATTCTGTTCGTCGGGGGGGGGATCAAATCCCCCCTGCGCCGGTTCACGCCGTCATGGACTTCCACCAGCGTTACTTGTGATTGCCTGCTACCTTTCGTTCACCCCCTCCTCTCTCAAGTTACCTATCAAAGACTATTCCTTTTATAGTCTTTGACTCCCAGGGTTCAGGTTGCTTTTTAGGTGGATGGACATGGGTTGGCCTGCGATTTCGCAGCGCTGATGCATCCCCTTCGCCGATCCGCACAAAACAGCCAAACTCTTCATCAAATGAAATGGCTGTTTTGAAGAGTTTGAAGACCTCAGACTGAAAGGTCTTCAAAAGGTCTTCATCAAGGTGGTCAACCAAAACAACAATTTTTTGAAGACCTCAGACTCTGATCACGCAGTTCCCAATTTTTTGGTGTTTTTCAGGCAAGCTGCAAGCTGCGAAAGAACACCGATGGCGGAACTGAGACTGGTCGTCTTACCCTTCCAGTCGCGACCAGCTGAGGTCTTGAAGCGCTCCAGGCGACGCGTCATTGGTGAACCTGTGACCGTGGCAGTGAAGGCAGTGATTAGCGCCATGGTCCCACCGATCCAGGAGCTCCGGCCGCAGGAAGCCGGAATCGCACTGTGGGACCGGGACCGAAGTCGGTGTCAGGCCGTTAGGAGCCGCCGAAGTCGGTGTCGCCCCCCAAAAGCTTCGGTCTCCATTTACACCCCGTCTCGCTGTCGCAGGTGGGGTCGGAGCTTCGTCCGGGAGTGCCGTTTCGGGCGAAAGGACCCGGTTTTTGGTTTCACACCCGTCCCTTTGAACGAGGAAGGCGTGCCTTCGGAAAAAGGAACGTGACACCCGGAAAAGGACCGTGGTTTCTCTTACGCGCGGCGCGCCGTGAGGTGCATGGAAAGGGCAAGAAGGTGGTTGAGAAGCCTCAAGCTCACCTTGAGAAGCTGGTGAACGTGCAGAAGTTCCAGGACACCTGTCCACGGTCCGAGCGCCAGCGTCTTCGGTCAGGTCGTGGAGCTTTGTCCTTCAGGGTTTTAGACCCACATGGCTGCCTTTTCTTTGCCCAGACGCTCCGTCGTTCACGACGCCCTTTCCCGGTCTCTCAAAACGCTCAGTATTTGAGACCCCTGACCCGAGGATTCGGGTCCGACCCCTCCATAGGTTCGGGCCCAGGGTCGCGTCTGGGTGGAAGGATTTCTTGGTCACCGAAAAGTCCGTGGTCCGTGGTCGCCAGGCATGCAAACAATCGACCAGGACTTCCGAAACACGGAAAAACTGCCGGGCATGCTCCCCTTACAAGTCAAAGACCTCATGTTACAGGGGATGGTTACAAACACCAATACTTAAGGAGGTAGGGCAGACCAGGTCTTACTGGGTCAAACTGGACGTACGTAGGGTCCTGTGTTGCTGTCTCCTTCACCTCCCAATCCCCTGTCTCTCCGACCAGCTCGTGCCCGAAAGCTGTCTCCCAGGAGCTGTTGCCCTTTTGGGGCGCGGCGGCTTGGAGCTCCCGGGTGCCTCCCATCGTGCCGGTGGCCCACGGGGCCGCGCACTTGGTCTCCGTGCGGAAGCAGCTGCGCGAGGCGCCGCGCCGCGGCCCCGGCCGCGCGCCACGGGACGAGCCCGCGGAGCCCGCGAAGCCCGCGGGCCACGAGTGCAGCGGCCAAGCGGAGGTGGGTGACGTGCAGGCCGGGGGCGGGGGGTGGGGAGAGTGTGGTGGGGGCTTGCGCTGAGTGTGGTGCTTGTTGCCCAAGATCCATGATACCTTTCAGCACCCGACTCTACAGGTCTCCTCTGGAGGCTTTTGGAGACTTAAAAATGTCAGGTGGTGACCTGTTGGAGGGTGCTGATGTACATCTTCCAACGTAGTGCAACATTTCTGAACTTCATAAAAGCAGCCGTTTGTTTGGGGAACATTTCATGTCGTTGGAAGATCGATGGATTTACGCCATGGTTCCTCCGCGGGCCATGCCGGTTAGAGGAGGGGGCCGAGGGAATCCACCATTTGATGTTCACGTCTCGGCTCTCGACTCTTGATGACCATCTTGAATCAAACTAGATTGTAAAGCTTCGTCATATGGGGGGAGGTTCATCAATCAAGAGTCTAACCTTACACCTGCCTCCCAGATCTTCACTTTTAGGCCTCAGGATTGCCAACCAGGCTTTGCTTGAATGCGAAGCTCGCTCGTTCCGCGTCACGAACTGCTTTTCCCCCACCCTGGCAGGCTTTTACTCCATCGCAACCAGTTCGGGGTCTGAAGTCAAAGTCTCAGGCGATACCCTAAGAATCAAGGACCCTCAGTTCGGTGAAGGTTTGGTTCGGGTCCAAACCCCTGCGTTCTGCAGGGTCAAAACGCTCCAGAAGTGGTCCGGTCCAAGTTGAATTTGCTTTCGATTCATGGATCCTGCCAGGTTCAGCCTCCGAACTTCCCCGTGAAGGGACCAGAAGTCCTAGAGGTCATGGCCATGAGAACAGGAGTTCGACTCTTGCCGCTGACACTGGATGTGGAACCTTGGGTTTGCATTTAGAGGTCAGGTGAAGGAAGATGAAGGTCATGTGGAAAGGACATCTGCAGGATGTGGATCAAATCCACATGGATTTGCTCTCTTGCATGTGGCGAGTGAGTCACAGTACATGTCCGGAAGACTGGATGTTTGCAAAACCCTCAACTAACAGCCTGGCCAGGAGGGTGCTGGTAACCGCCGAGGGAAAAACCGGTTCCGGCCAGTCAGTTCGTTGGGTCGAGAGAGGATGGGAAGAGCTGTAGACTCTTGAGGAACATCGTCCCCCACCCATCCCTGAGGATCCAGGAAAGTACCGAACCTCAGGTACGGTGATGTGTTCGACACGCTGATATAGGTGCCAGAAAAGTCCAGTCGTACCGAACCTGAGGTTCGGCACTTTCCTGGATCCCTAGGGAATTATGGATGAATTATAACCTCACTATCTTGGCGGTTGGCTCTATGTCCTCAAAGAGGATAAAACCTGAACCAGCACCCGAAACCTGCCAGGTCCAGAGCATTTCTTTACCAGTGTCAGAGCTTCGACTGCACTAGTACTGGGGGCGAAGAGTGTGGATGTGAGATTGAAGTGGTTATATACATTAAATGACAACTTTGTGAGAGGGGTGCACACATTTTGACCCAGTGCATCTTGAGGTGCCAGCCCAGAGACAGAAGCTAGAGCTTCGACTGCACTAGAAGTGGGGGCGAAGAGTGTGGATGCGACACTTATGCTTATATGATTAAATGACAACTTTGTGAGAAGGGTGCACACATTTTGACCCAGTGCATCTTGAGGTGGCAGCCGATAGACAGAAGCTAGAGCTTCGGCTGCACTAGAAGTGGGGTCGAAGAGTGTGGATGTGACACTTATACGATTAAATGACAACTTTGTGAGAGGGGTGCACACATTTTGACCCAGTGCATCTTGAGGTGCCAGCCCAGAGACAGAAGCTAGCAGTGTCTGAAGTTCACATGGAGAAGCTGATCTACTCAGACCAGTTGCGGGATTGGGCGACGAGCGCAACACGCACTGCCTGGAATTCCAGGCTTTGTCCCACTCGGATGGTTCCAGTCAGCTTCAACATCTCCAAAGTCAAAGTGCAGGCTTCCCAAGCTTCAATCGTTCACCCGAAGCTCAAGGAGCAGGCAGCGTTGGTCCCTGGCATGTGCGAAATCGATGTTTTGTTTTTCAGCTTTGCCGTTGGCCGTTCGGTTTTTCAGCTTGGTCTCGTTCGGTTTCAAGAACTTTTTCAGTTCTGAAGCCTACCAGGGCGCCCAGTCGGGGTGTCTACTAATGGGTTTTTGGAGGAGATTTGGGATGTCCATTAACCGCCCCAATCAGGGGGTGCTGGTATGTACCATTTTTCAGGTTTTCACGTGTCCCAGAGACGCGTGATCGTATCTGCAGAGATGTGCGTATCGTCCGACACCGGTGCGTCATGGCGCGTCGAAGATCCGACTCTATGACCCGTACGTTCGAAAAAGCGCAGCCGTTCCATGAGGTTGGGTGCGGTGCTCATGGACACCACCCAACTCCATGACTCCGGGAGTTTTGGATCGTAATCCCTAGGGCCCACTGCCACCGAACCTCAGGTTCGGTACGACTGGACCCTCCAAAACTACATATAACAGTATCTCCAATCCTGACAAGGTACGACTGGATCCCTTTTTGGAGCAGCTTCTGCTGGCGAGGTTCCCCGCCCAGCTTCTGCCTCCACCCAAGGTCTTCCGAGGTGCCCGCGGCACCTGGGCCCTGCCGTCACGACGGGCTCGGTTGCTGCTTTCGGGAGCTCGGCCGATGCCGCTGCCCTCTTCGGAGCTTTGGCCGTGGAATCGGGGGTGGCAGGGTCGAGGGTCCTGGGAAATGCCAGGACCCTCCAAGAGGTGTCTACTTCCAGGACCCCCAGTAATGGGGGTGTCCTAGTTTCGAGGCTATTTGTAGACACCCTTTGGAGGGTCCACTATCATGAGTAGCATCAATGAACGCAATTGAAGTCCACTACAAGTGGAGGTCTTTTTGGGCCCAAAAAGGGGCCATCCAGCGTCCCTCTGCTCCTCTGTCCTCTGTCGGGGTTCGTCCGCTCCTGCTCCTTTGCTCAACAGAAGAGGGGCTCCCAGGGTTTCAAAGAAGACCAAATGGAGAACCGGGTGGAATACATCGACTTGATCAGCGGTCGAACCAGTCGGCCCCCTCAGGCTTGGAACGGCCGTTCTCTTAGTCTTCGAAGCTAGCAATCCCTTAAGCTTCAGACATCTTGCGTGGCCCTTAAGCTTGGATCTCTTGCATGGCTTGTGGGGCTTCATCTTGGCACCTCCAGTGGTCGACCTCAGGTCTTCACATCACCAGTGGTCGGGTCCGTCTCACGACGCGCAGGTCTTCGATCGGCCGTTCCATGCCGGCACCGTGTCCTTGAAGGCGTGGTGGGATTCATCACTTGGGAGCGAGGGCGGACGGTCTCCTCCCCGCGTGGCAGTCGTGACAGCGGCATGAGAGGAGAGTCATGGACTTGATGAGAAGCTATGCATCCCATGACTTGATGATTGAACAGCCTCTTCGTTTAGGAATCCAGAGGGCGACATGCTCGGATTTCTGGGAGGTTGTTCTACCGTGGAAACCATGGAAGTTGGACGTTCTGAGCGTTCGGCGTTTCGCCTTTTTCCTCCACTTCTGAGTCTTTCCGACGATTCCTCACGCACCTCGTGGAGCACCGGGCCTGGCTGCTGTTCAGCACGCCCCGACCCGGCGCAGGTCGTCGAGACGGGTTTGAGCTCCTTCTTCCCCTCGGAGGGGGCAAAGAAGATCGAGCCTTGGTGAGGGCGGTTGGGGGGTAGTGGAGACGTTTCGGTCTCTCTGTCCTAGCTCTGCCGTAGAACCAGGTTCAGTCTGACGTAACAACGGGGGTTACGGGTTACTACACCCAGACGCTCTATGGGACTGGAATATATGGCGATCAGGCCAGGGGTGGTGCCAGAGGGGTCAATGGGGCGGCATATCATGGCAGTCCTATGGAGCGTCTGGGACATATGATCAACTTCAACAAGAGGTCCTTGACCTGGGGACGGTAGTGGCAAAGGAATGCGGACAACGAAGAATGGATGGCAGAAGCATCCTTGATGTCCTCTTAGTCTGCCAATTTTGCACCAGATGCGGACCCTAACTGTTGGTGGAGAGGATTCCAGGTCCATTTTCCCCAGGCAAGTTCTTGATATATTTCCCGTATAAGACCACTTCTTCTCGAACCTTTAGGAGTCACATGGAGTTGGGTGGTTTTCAGTCCCATCCAGGGCGAACGTGGATGTGACTTCCGGGGCACCTGTACTCCTCCTTCCGAACGGCTTCGGCACCGGCACCCCATGTCTGTCGCGTCACGTGACTCCCGCCCCCCAGGAGCCTCCCATGGATTCGTTGGGTCCGGTCCGCTGGTGTGGCACCCCGACCCGACCCGACCTGGACGGTCACGGTCTTCACCGGTCTTCACCTGTCACCGGTCCTCGTTGAGCCTGTCGTCGGCCGGTGAAAGAAAGGGACCGGACGTCCAGAGACGGCCATGGTCAGCACTCAGAGCAGCTCTGAGTGCAGCCATGCTGAGTTATCGCAGCCTTGCTTCGGACTGGACTTGCTTCTGAGTCTCGAGAGACTCAAACACCGATAGGTTTCGGGAGATGCGACGCCAGGGTTCGATGATCTGAAAGGATGGAGATACCTGCATTACCCAACTGGGATCGTCTCAGTCGATCTTGGCTTCTTCAAGGTCTGGGATGTGGGGGTCGCAGATTGGTATGAGTTCTTGACCCCCAATTCCCATGTCCTTTGGACTATTCAGATCGTCCATTCAGGACAGACGGACAGTCCAGAGCACGGAGCCACTCAGGACGCGCGGAGGGAGCTGCGAGCGCTGGGAGCGCTGGGAGGCAGCTTCCGGACAGCCCTAGCAGCTTGGGTGGCACCAGGGCGCCGGCATGAGTTCGGAGGTTTAGGACGGAGTTGGGGTGGTCCCACTTGTTGGGTCAGGGCCCGTTCCGGGCGCGACCGACTTCCAGCCGGAAGAGGTCGTGACCCCCAAATACCCGGACGGTGTTTGTGTCCAGTTCGCCTCGTTCGGTTTTTAGAGGTGAAGAACGAACGGGGTGTCCAAAAGCCACCGGGGAGGAGTGTCAGGTTCTGATATATGGGGAATCGTTATTAAGGATTGGTAAAAGATTCAAGGTTTACGGGGTGTCCTGGTAGAAGGTCCTGGTAGAGGTCACACGGGGCTTGGCCAGTAGACCGGCCTCTCTTTGTGACCGGCACGATCTCAGTGCCGCGGGTGGGAGAGATTTCCTGCATCCGGTTCGGGTGCTTCATTGGAAGTTGGAAAGATGCATTGTTGAGACACAGGACACATACTGTGTTGCCAGCACCAAGTTGCACCAAGACAGCACCAAGTTGCACCAAGACAGCACCTTGCACCAAGCCTCTTCCCAGCTGCAGGATCATGCATGTGAAAACGATGGGCCGAGCACGATCCTTCTCAACGTCTGGACGCGTCTGGACGCCGAGCTTCCGCTCCCCCGGATGAGGTCGGTGCGGATCAGCCCGTGTGCGAGGCGGTCGGCGCGGTCAGCGCGGCGCAGGCGGCGGGAGCCGGGGGGAAACGCAGTTGAAAGCGAGCAAATTGGTGGGTGGTGGAGGATCTGTGTGTTGGTGGGTCTTGTCATCCTTTTTTCTCCTAGCTATATAATTCCACATCTTCTGCTCTTGGGAGGCTGGAAAGAGGATGGCACCGGCATGGAGATCAACAAGCTCCCCTTGTTTTTCTGAACTATAGAAGCCAGACACGACCCCTGTTTTGATAGGAAGTTTGACCGTATATTTGGGCAGTTGGGGGTGCCCAAAAAAGGATCTTTTCCACGCGCCACGCGTCCGAGGGTCCGGGTGTTCGGGGTGTGTGGAACACCCACCCACCCACCGCACCTCCGGCAGAAGGCCTTGGCCGCCCTGAATGATACCTGGCAGCCACCTCCAGTGAAAGACTCTCCAGAGGTGCGGCCGAAGTCAGACGGGCAGGTTCGGTGGCGGGCGAAAACTGACCCCGACCGTCGGGGAGACCCTTCGTCGTCCCCAGGAGTCCGCAATCGGCTTGGAGGTCAGATGGAGTTGTGACCACCAGCACCCCCCAGTGGCGGCATTTTGTCCTGGGCAGGTCTGGTGTGGCACTGTCCCCCAGCTCTGATCTTCTGGTGCTTTGGATACCTCAAAATGGAGAGTCATGATTTTGCGTGACCAACTTGCGTCAACGGTTTGGTCCTGAATGTACTGGCAAAGCATTGTTTTACTAAGGATTTGGCACTACTTGGCTTTAAGTCAACCCTTTTAAATTGGTCGACTGGACTTCCAGGGTAAATAGATTGGGTCTATGCCATGAAAAACAGCAGGTTTTAGTGGATGATGATGGTTCAGTTGCAGGCCTTCTCATCTCTAAAATAGTGATGTTCTTGTCTACTGACTGATACAGGTAATAGGACAAACTCAACCTATAGACTATCCCAGGTTGGGTACCCCAGTAATGACGGATCCTTTTTCAGGTGACTTCACCGACTTAACCTCTCTTGGCACGCGTCCCAAGCTACAATCCTAAACAAATCCTTACAGAGAAACAGGAGTTCCTGACCGGAATCCCACGGATTTTCGGCTTCTTCAACCTCTGGTGTTGACGTGTTTTGTTGACGTCCAGCCTGCTGGGCACTGCAGGAAACAGCCGTCCAGGGGCTCCAAAGAGACGAGGGAGACAAAGACAGGTCACCTCTGGGGAGGAAGAGGAGCGAAGTTCGTTGGAAGAACATACACTTCTCCTCAAGGTCAACAAGCAAGCAGCTGATATCAACATCTGAATCGGCCTGTCCCGCCGCCGCCAGGCGCCGCGCCTCGAGTGGCGCCCGGTCGAACAGATCCGGAGCATCCGGGTTCGGTCCAACGTCGGGGACGCGCGACGTCGACGTCGGTGTGGCCTGGGGGTTCTGGGAGGCGGCTCGAAGTGCCATATACCCTAGAAGTCCAGTTCGACTATTTTAGGCACCACGCAAGTGTTCAGGAAGTTCCTTTTCACTCGGATCACCAATTCAGACCGTTTTAAAAATAGTCTTGGACTCCCAGGGTATATATTGAGTGAAGTGTTGAGAGTCTGCAGGTGAGTTCTCAGTTGAACTTGGGTCAGCTGACTTGAAACAAGGGAGGACATTGGACGTCGCGTCTGATGGCGTTTTGCGCCAGATGAAGTGCGGTGGATGTTGCGGTTGACCAGATGGTTGGATCGATGGTTTGGTCGTCGATGGTTGGATCGATGTGAAACATGCCATCACCAACAGATTCAAATTGGGAAAATCCTTTATCACCCCGAATCCCCCCCGAAAAAATATTTCCCAGCAGGATAGGGGTGCCCAGAACATCCACTCACTTAGGGACTAAACACCAACCCTTTGTGACCCCTGGATGTCTTTTTTTGCTTTGGAGAAAAACACCGAACAAGTTGCGGCACAAAGCTGCCCCAAGTAGGACGATCAGAGACTTGACATCAGCTGAACTCGGAGCTACAGAGTGTTTTTTCTGCCATGGCCAGCCGGATTTCAGCTGCAGGATTTCATGGCAAGACAGGGTCTCTGACAGGCAGCACTTCTCCCCCAAAGATGACCAAGTCATTTGTCAGGTTTTCCTACCAACTGCAGCCAGTTACTTCCCCAAGTACTGAACAAATGCAACACAACCTCTCTCACCCAGGACCTTCCAACAGGTCACCAGTTGCCACTTGAAAAAGTCTACAAAAGCCTCCAGAGACCTGGCAGGGAAGGTGCTGGACTGTATCTTCCATGCGCAGAGCTTCCGAACCCCGCGCGGCCGAGTTCGGGCCGGCAGGACGCTGCGCGACGGCCGCAAGCGCTATTCCCTGGGTGCAGAGCCGCGCCCTGCGGCTCGCGCGGCGCACGATCCGAGCAGTTCGGTGCGGCGCGTGAACTGGCGGGAGAAGGCGAAGGAGCTGAAGTTGGCGAAGAAACGAGGTCGGGCGAGGGCGAGGGTGGGACTTGGGGGCGAGGGGGGTGCTAGAGTCAGGGACCAGTTGGAGGATTTCAGGCGTGGGGCTACAGTGTGGTCGGCGAAGCGTGGGACTCTGAGACTGGTTCAGTCACCCAGATCATCCAGGGCATCCAGGGCTCGCTGGGAGTCCCCAGCGGTGTACCAGGACACCCGGACTAAGGGGCTTCCATTGATAGCTCCTCAGTCCATTAAGTACCCCGACTGTGTGTCCTGGTATAGACTAAAACCATACCCAGTGCATCCCAGGCAGTTCCCACGAGTACTAAGGAACCAGGGGCCCTCGTAACCGGTCGAACTGGTTTTAGTCGAACTGGAACCGGACTCCCAGCGAGCTCTCGTAGGTTGCCTGGATGCCGTGGGATAGCCTTGTTCCCGGCTTCGGCTGAGTTCTGCCTGGGATGCCCGCTTCGTTCTGTCCACCTCCGCTTCGTTCTGTCCGGACGTGTGGACGTTTTGGGATTCCCGCGGAATACACCCTAGCAGCACCCGACTCGTCCAGAGAATAGAGGCTTAAAGGTGGAGACTTAAAAAGGTGGACCAGGTGTGGCGGCAGGTCGAACGGGTGCTGGGAGGTCGAATCTGGGAGGTCGAGACAGATTCCCCACATTCACCGACCGGGTATCATGCCCCATCTCTCCAGCATGTTCCTTTTTCTGAGGGTTTTCGGAACAGATCGACCACTCCCCAAGATGCACCGGGAAGTTTTCAGAAATTCCCTGAACTCGGGTCATCTTTTTCCATCTTTCATCCGAGCATTTGAACCGGTCCACTTGGCGGGCCGGACATCGGCCTGTGGTCTGAAGTTGGGATGAGTTGATTGTCTTCTCAATCAACTCCCACATCCCACCCTACCAGGACCTTCCAACAGGTCACCACCTGCGACTTTTAAGTCTACAAAAGCCTCCATTTCGGAGACCTGTTGGAAGGTGCTGGTAGAAGTCCAGTTCGACTATGACCGACTGAAGGTTTCAGGGTTCCTTCCTGGAGTCGGGCCACCGTTCGTCACTAGTCAGACCATTCTAGTCTTTGACTTCCAGGGCCCATGTGAGGCTTTTTCGCCACAACACCACTTTTTTGAGGGAGGAGCCAAGCTTGGAGCATTTTAAACTGGGCAGAAGAAGGGAATCCGCGACAGATGTTGGTGCTCTAGCTGACCCACCCACGCAAGTGTTGGATTTTGATGTGAAGATGTTTCCATTCTTCAATCATACCTAGATCTTCCAATCTGTTCAATGTGTTGGCCTTTTTCATCAAGGAAACCAGCAAGGTTCGGCAGAACGACAGTTGGAAGATTCAGGTCTCGGCAGAACGCAGGGTTGAACCAAATGGACAAAACAAGCCGGCTTCCTGGAATGAATGTACTTCACTTCATGCGACTGCCGTCTGCGCGCAGTCCACGACTGGAGATCCCAGGTCCCATTCCTCGCCCCTCAAGGTCAGTTGACCTTCGCTCTCTTCGGTGGAGGGGGCTATTTCGAGAAGAAGCGCCGGATGTCCTTCGACTGTGCTGAATCCGGGCGGGCGGGGATGGGGTGGGTGGAAAGGGCCCAGGGGTTTGGGAGGAAATGGCGGATGAGAAGCATTGCCAGTACCTGGACCCTCCAAAGTACCTTGTACCCATTTTCAGAGGTACTTTGAGACTCCAGGTACTGATGTGCAATGCTTTATCCACGTGTCTGAAGGCCTCAAAGAGGGTTTCCTGCTCAGTGTTCGACGGTGTCGTTGTCCAAGTGATGTGTTTGTTCATTGTATTCTTCTTGTTCTTAATTCACTTCTTTGATCTTCTTTGTATCTATCTAACAGAAACAGCATCTTTTCGTGCACCCCCCAAAAAGACCCTCGAACCTGCGCGCTCCGGGCTCACCGCGTCCCAGCAACCGATCGGCGCTAGGGAGGTCAGCGTTCCCGACGGTCCAAGGACATTGCCCTGGGTCGAAGCGGTGTATCCTCACCTGGGCCTCTCCACGCCCTGTGCGGGCGAGCAGATGGCGATGGTGTCGCCCTTCGCCTCGCAGCTGGTGGCTACCGGACCCATTCTGGAGGAAGGCACCGAGATCACGAGCGCTCTGCGCGCAGGGGTTGGTGGGAGACCTTTTTGGGGTTCGTGGGAGACGCTTGCGGGGTGGTTGGTGTGAGGCGCTACGTAGAACGGGAGGTCGCTCCTGTGGGTGCCCTTCTTTTTGTGTTTGTTGTGGAAGTTGGAGATGTAATGTAGAATTAGGCTGTGTAGGGACAGTAGGAAGTGGTGTTCCCTCGGATGTTTTGGTACAGCAGATCTCTTTTTGAGTAGGTGCCTATGACTCATCAGGGGACACGTTTTTCATCCCAAACACCTGAGTTGCACACCACCGCCGGTTCGCTGCCGGACGATAAAAAAAACTGCTCGGTCCAACAAGGACTGGAGAAGGGCAACGAACGCAGCACCGAAACCGCCAGCATTTGTAAACCTTGAAAGCATGCACCTACGTCCACCGCGGAGCCTTTGAAAGGATTCTTTCCGATGTGCAACCACCACGTCCATCCCGCACGATGTGCGTGGTCCCTTCCTTCGAAAATTCCTCGCCGCCAGGCGATGTGGGCGAGATGGTCTTCATCACCATTTCCCACGGGGGGCACATTGGCCTCAATCTGGCCATGTCGCTGGAGCGCGTCTGCCGCCCGATTCGTGCTGTGGTGCTGTTTGATTTCATAAGCTCGGCACCCAGACAGAACAGCAGCCACTGGGAAGCATACGCTGCTTCGCGCGACCGCGACGACGCCTGCACGTCGTGTCGCGGCCGGAAACTCGCTTTCGCTCGCTGTGGGTGTTTGCATGAACTAGTGCCACTGGTAGCCTATACCAGGACCCTCCAACAGGTCACCACCTGCGACTTTTAAGTCTCCAAAAGCCACCAGAGGAGACCTGTTGGAGGGTGCTGGTAGTGGTGGACAAGAAGGACTTCGTGCCAGGGTGGGCAGTTCATTCCCCTGCGTCGATCTCATCGCTCAGCCAGCACCGTCATCCGAGGTGACCTGATCACCTTGTATCTGCCCGAAGGCGTGAGCAAACGACGCTCGGGTGGGGGAGGTCTGCGAGGTCGGTCGACCGGTCGCGATGTGGTCGAGAAATCGACCACGTCAAGGCCTAAGCTGAAGCCTATCCATTCAGAAGGCGCCTTTTTCGCTGCTTCTTTTTCTTAAAGCTTGCTATGGTCAAGATGACCATTGTAGGACCATGCCGTGCACATCTTAGCATTGCTGGCGACCTCCTTAGGGGCCAAAAAGGAACTGAAAACAACAGAGAAACACCGCTCCTCCTTCCCCCAAAGAAAACCAGGAACAACTTACGCCTCCATGAGAAACAAAACGCATGACACCTCGCTTGCTCTCGCTACTACTCACTACTCGCTCCGCTACTCGCTCCGCTGACTACTCGCTTGGAAGCCGTGGCGCTCCGGCTTGGCGCTCCAAGGACTTGACATTTTGGTGGCTGGCAGCATCACACAACCCCTCCCCACGCCCTTCTTCCAGAGCGAGCACCACATCTTGCAGGTACCAAAGTCGTTCGTCGTTTGGGGCGGTGCGCCGCGTTGGGTGGGGCGGTGCACGGCGCCTCCTCGCCTCATCGGGGCGAATCAGGGCTCGGCTGAGCCGAGGGAAGTCCGTGCATCGGCTGAGCGGGTGAACAGCTGGAAGAGGTCGAACGACAGTTTTGACAGGTGGACGGAACAGGGACGGAAGCAAAGGATGTGCGGCGATGGCTGTTGGCGATAGACCAGAATCCCTGAGAAGATTGCAGATGCTCAGTTACACCTGGTTCTTCAAAGTGACCTAACTTGATATCCCAGTTTGAGGTCACTTGGGCATGTCACTGGCACTCCAAAGAGGTCACCAAAGCCAGGTATAGATGATGCCACATCTTCTGAACCATCCAAACAAGGCAGCTTCCAGGCTTCTCCTCCCCCCATTTCTTTCACATGCTTCCATTATCCATCTGACTCTGACCCAGATGGCACACGCGAAGCCGCCCAAAGCACTGGAGCCGCCCACCCCCGCGCGCCGGGCTGCGCTGTGCAGGTGGGTACCTGCTATTGGCCCGAGGAGGCGCGCGTCGACCCGCTGCAGAACCGCAGCAGCGTGGCCGCCAACCTGCAGCTCTACTCCAGGCGCGACGCGACGCGGGTGTCCTACGCGGTTTGGCCGGCGCTGAACACGCGTAAATCGCCGGACCGCACGTGACCCTGTGCCGTGGGCGGACTGTCCGGTGTTGCGATCAGGGCGCCAAAGGCGCCGTCGCGCGTGGTGCCGGGGGGCGTGGAGGGCGAAGGAGAGAAACGAAGCTGGACCCCCAGGCGGAGGGGTGGGATGGCCCGAAGGAGCTCGAAACCAGGGGCGATGTTCATGGACACCCGAAATCCGTGGTGAAGATAGAAGATGGATTTCAGGAACTTCAGGAACTCGATCTCATCTGGTGAGTCGGATGAGATCCACACATGGACACCATGAGATTTGCGAAGCGAAACGATGAATGGCTGGACGACTGGACATCGCAGCACTGGCTGCAGAGTATTTGTGACCGGATTAATAGTCATCAAAGAACCATGGTTTTTATGGATTTTACACTACAAAACCAGGTAAACTACAATTTTTTACAGTCATCTTTGAAGCTATAGGGATTCTTTACCAGTGGTTTCAATCATTTGCTTCATCGTTCGGGCAGTGAACTCACACCCCACTTCATCGCGAATTGGGGGTTGCACCAGCATCCATTGTTTGGACGATCTTTCCTCTTTGGACCGTGTCATGGGGGGGCACGGGAGAACGGCTGGGGATCCAGGAAAGTACCGTAAAGCTTCGACGGACCCGACGCGAGTTTTTTGGCACGACGTCGAACACAGTGTCGAACACATCACCGTACCGGGTCGGTTCGGTTGACTTCCGTTCGATCCATACCAGGACCCTCCGACAGGTCACCAATTGAGACCTGTTAGGGTCCAACAACCCTCAACTAACAGCCTGTTGGAGGGTGCTGGTGGGGTTTGATTCAGTTCGGCACTGGCAGAGTGAAGATCCAGGTCTCCCCAGGTGCGTCACATGGAGGGCCGTCGGGGGGCGTGGCTCGTCCCATCCAGGGCGAACTTGTGGATGTGACGTGACAGCCACCCCGGCACCCCCGGCACATGTGTGACTGCTAGTAGATGTTTCCTCCCATCTACCAGGTACCAGGAGTCTTGGAGGTTAGGGGTGCCCCTGTCACATCCACTCACTGGATGGGACCAAACACCACCTGTTTGTGACCCCTGGTAGATCGTTTCGATGTTCTCAAGTCTCCGTGGGTCGCAGCCAGCAGATCATCTCTTCATCTCTTTTCACCATCCTTTTCTTTCCCCGCGAAACCCACCGTCGTCTCGTCTGCGAGTGGAACATCGAAGCGGCCCAGTCGCAACGTCCCGTTGAACCAGGACGTCGAGGAAACGGTGACTCCGTAGCACACGCCACAGCCACCTCAAAACTTCTCCTGAAAGGGAAGGCGCCCCAAGAAGAACAGCTGCTACAAATGGGTTTGCCTCAGAATAGAGAGACCCTCCAGTTCGACCCCCTGGAAGAAGGAAACTATAGACGTATCTCAATCCACACAATCTTTGGCACACCCCAAGCCACCTCAACTCCCCATGCCAAGGTCGCCCCCAAAACCTCTCTACTTCGCCCACCCGGCTTCTCCGCTTTCCACGCACGCACGGAGCACGGCGGTGCACAAACACGCCTTCTTGGGGGGTTCCTTCCCACCCACCCGATTCGACTCTGAGCCTCGGATGCGGAAGGTCGTTGGAGTTCTTCGAGATGGACACGGACCACTTCGGGCCCTTCAACACCCAGTGGGACTTGTTCCGCCTCATCGTGGGCACCGAGACTGGGCGGAGATGGGGGTCTTGGGCCGTGCCCCACAGCGAGCGACCTGTGACTGGGGGTGACCAGCTGTCCGAGCGGAGGAAGGAGGCTCGGGAGTGCCCAGAAACACCACCTGCCAGGGGTCACAAAGGGGTGGTGTTTGGTCCCTAAGTGAGTGGATAAGGGGTGGTGTTTGGTCCAATAAGGCACCCCTTTGTGACTCCTGGTGTCTGAACTTTTCGAAGCTGATGTTGGTGACCCGTGACGGCCGCCCACTTCGGCCGCGTGCGCCCAGTCCCCACCCACTCCTCCGCCCGTAGACTGCCAAACCGCTCAACGTGAACAACGTACGGACCGCTCGTCTTTCTCAACGACCGGCCTGGCACCGGACGGAGAACGCGAAGCCCTTCGGTGCCAGGCCGAATGGCCGGAGCCCCGAACGCAATGGCCGGAGCCCTTCCCCCGTACTTTTCACTCACCCTCTCACGGTCTCAGGGAGATGGGACCGGACGTTCCATCCGGTGACAGCGCGTGAAATCGACGCGTGAAATCGACGTGTGAATCGCCATCCAAGGAGCGAAACGGCGAGTGACCAGTGACGAGAACTCGAGCAGAGACGCCGTCGCGTGGCGTGGCGTGGCGTGCGATGCCAGCGAATGCAGTGCCGAAGACGCACGAGACGAGAGACGCGAAGTGAACAGAGTGAGAAGCGCTTGTGAACCAGTCAGCGCATGTCACCAGTCATGCGCATGTCACCTTCAAGTGACCGCGACCGCAGGGTGTTCGGTAGGGCGCCAGCACCGGCCAGGCGCCGGTGGATCCCTTTGGATTTAGGAGTCCCAGGCGGAAAGAGTCTACTGAGCTTCATTGTAGCACACGAACATGGCGAATGGATGGCGCTGCGATGGGCCAATCGATGGCGCCTCCGGTGCCCCTGCGGCGATGCCTAATTGAAGTTATTTCAGATGCATAGATGCTCGTAGCCCGAGAACTCGAGGCTTCCTTGCCTTTGAGGCGTCGTCAGCGTCGTTGTCTGTCTGAAACGGTTGCACGGGTTTCCACCCTTGGCAGATACCACCGTGGCTCTTTGGGTGATTTGAGGATCGAGCCCATGTGGAGCCTGAAAACACGAAAAACGACGCGGAATGGAATGGAGAAAGGCAAAGAAGCCTCATCAAGCCAAGAATTCACTTCCAGATGCAAGGTCCATGTTGCATAGAACGCACCGGATAAGATTGCACTCGCGGCATGGACAAGATTGGACTTGTTGGGTTGCAAAGCGAAAGGTTGGGTGTTGTGAAACAGATCTAGAGCCTCTAGAGGGTTCTCCAACATTTGTCGTTTGCGTTTCCTCTTTTTGGAGTGTGCGTATTATGCAGATTTTTGCATGATTCTTGTTGAACTGCAACAATCCTTCGTCCACAGTCCACTGGTCCAGAATCTGTGTGGCACGCCGGTCTTCCAATTCATCGCTGCGAACGGTGTGACTTGCCGGTGCAATTCATCGAGGAATTGCAGATGCTGAGTATCTTGCTCGTCTCAGGGAACCAGAATTTGGTTTCTTTGCCGATTTTTTTCCAGAAGCCCGATGGATCAGGCGATGGTTCTGTGGAGCCACCGAACAATAACCGTGTTTTTTATTTTTTTGTTGGACCGCTGCGATGGGCCTCAGAAGGCGGTGGATAATGGGCAAAGAAGCCGAAGAATTCACCTTCAGATGCATGATCCGTGCACTGTACCAGACCCAAAAACATGCTCCTGGAACACAGGGAAGAAGCAGGCCTCAGGCGGTGGTTCCGAAACACAGCGCTGCCGGGTATGAGTCCAATTGACTCGTGAAAAACGGTCCCAGCTGGGGGTCATCCACCACTACCAGGGTAGGAGGGAGTGCATGAGTTAGAACCAGTCATGACAGGACTCTGAGACATAGAGAAGCCTAGAACCTGATTTGACCCCTGTTTTGGAGCTTTCCTGATCGGTCTTTTCCGATCAAAACCGGTCATGTCTGGATTCGAGGTTCAACTTCTCCATCTGAAAAGCAAACAATTTTCGGCGCGTTCCCAGGCGGCGTTCCCAAACTCTTTGAGTCTGAAAACAGTGGGTTTGGTTTGTCCACATGGCAGGTGAGAAAAACCACCATAAGACCAGGTGCTTGCTGTTTTTTTTCTTTTCTTGTGTGACGAACATGCATGCGAGATAGCCAGAGAATTTCTCCTGTGACTCATGCATGTGTTGTTCTATTGACACTTCAAACGGAACTTTATATAATATACTAGCACCCTCCAACAGGTCTCCTCTGGAGGCTTTTGTAGACTTAAAAGTGTCAGGTGGTGACCTGTTGGAGGGTGCTGGTATTTTTTTCCTGGTCTAGCGCTGCAGGCATCTGGTGCCGTTTGGCCTTTCTTTCTTCTCATCTTTAGGGCCGCTTGCAGTGCACGAATTTGCGATTTAGCAGATCTAGATGCAAGTCCCCGGGACCAGAGGCTTCCGGTTTGCTGAGAGAATCAAATGACGGAAGCAACGAGCTGGAAGGAAGGAATGCTTGTTTCGAAAAAACGCCTCTGGAGCTTCTGTGAGTTCGTCACCCTCCACCCAAATACCTCATTTTTGCACGTTTTCGGCATGGGCATCTTTTGCTGCAGTGCTTGTTGCAGCAACTTGTGAGCTTTGAGAGGCACGGCAAATCTCACAGGACAAGAGTAGCGGAGAGCAGCTACTCATTGATACTCATTGATAGGGATGCATGAGCGCTGGTCAAGAGTACCAAGAGAGGTTGAACAGCCCTTTTTCGCACATCCCATATGTACCACTACAGGGCCCTATGTGGTGTTGGAAGGTGCTGGTAGTTGAACGTCCTGTCCTGAGCACTGCCGAATGCTTTAGCCCAACCTTCCGGGCTGAACGAAGATTCTTGGTGCTGGATACTCCTGGCTGAACCAGCTGCCTGAAGCAGCTCGGTGAAGGTGAATTCAAGTTGTTCACGTGACGTTCTTTTTCTTCTTGCAACCTGTTGTTCACGGTTCTTCCGTCACCGTGCTTATGAACCATATAAAACCGTGCTTTTGGCCGAGGTCAGAACATACCTACCACCCCCACAGCTAGGTCTGGTGCTGTTCGCCCCCATTTTTCCCTGATCCGCAACACGGAGCTGTGAAAGCGCCCGCCCATCCACGAACTTCGGACCGTGCGGTCCACCCTGTCGACCCTGTTGAGTCTGTAGGGTCTCTAGGTCGGGATAAAACGGTCGGTCTCAGAGCCAGCGGTTCCACCCCTCCATCCCAAGCAGAAAAGGGGAACCCGCAGCGGTGAGAAGGAGAGGCCACGAAACGGGTGGGGACTGGGGAGTTCCATCCAGATCCACAAAAGAGTCGCCTTTGCTTTCACAAATCTTCGGTCTGGCCTTCTGTCGACCTGTCGTCAGAAGCAGTGGATTGCTCTGCCCTGCAGTCTTTCGGATGGAGTCCCGGGGACCGGGGACCAACGTCGTCAAGGTCATTCATCTCGACTCTCCAACAGGTCGACCTGCCAGGTCGACCTGCCAGGTCAGGCTGAAATGGAGACTTAAAGGTGTCAACTGGTGTGGCAGGTCGACCGGGTGCTTGTTTTACTCAGATCCCGGAGAGGTCTGTGGGCTGGGGCGACGTTTCAAGAGCCAGGTGACCCTGAGGTCCTGAAGTTGATATGTATTCAAGTTGTCAAGGTACGTGCTGTTTTGAAACCATCCTGAAAATAGTTGATCCATCCAGGGTCACGCATGCTTCTTTCAACTCTTTCGTTCTTACGGAAAGTCAAGCACTCCCCACCGGTGCAAGCACCCGTACGACCCTCGCTGTTCGTACTTACCCGGGTACCTCGGTCGGACCGTTCGGACTCGGCCCCAAGAAAGCTGTTGGAAGGGTCTGAATCCCAATGCACCGAGCTGTTGTCCTCAAGGACTCTACACTCTACTATAATAGACAATATATAGGTCTTTCCAACTTCTAAACTGCAAAGAACGGAAAGGCTATTGCGTGGAGTATCTCCAAACCCAAGTTCGTCGAAACCTCGCAGAAAACGACGCGCTCTTCTTCGTGATTTGGACCAAAAAGGGGGTCGCGTCGCTGCCGGGACTCGGCGGGGCTGGGTAGCCGTCTTGCAGCACACGGACTGGGCCATCCTCTTAGAAGATTCATGAAGATTCTCAAGATGCGCCAATGCAACACGCCCCCTAAAAGAAAGAAGAAACAACCATGCGCACCCTTGAAGAGTTGCAGATTGGTCCACTAGTTGATCATGGAGATTGATTATCATGCGATTTGCGAAACTGTAGCCAAGAAGCCGCCCTGGCAAAGCCCTGGTTCGCAGTAGCAGATCATGTTTGGGTCCCCTAATTTGGAGGCTACCACTCCCCACAGGTCCAGTCTGACCAAGCCAAGGTCCAAACTTGCTCAAAACCTGACCCCAAGTCGTTACTCATCGAATTCCCCAACTGTCCACGTTCGTTCACACCGGGTTCGAAGCGTTTTGGCTTGTTCGCCAAACCGCCAAACGTCGCGGGCGCCCCGTTGGGGCTTCTTCTCCTTTCAGAGTTCGCGGCAGCTGCGAACCGACCGAGACCGCAAGGGTCGAGCGAACCGGCCGACCCGGCTCCATGTGGACCTTTTGGGGCTCCAGGCTTGACCGGGGGGGGGGATTTTGGGCACCGCGCCGCGCGACCGCCGCGGCGGGACGCCAGTCGGGGCGCCGAGCCGAGCCTCCGCCGTGGATCGACCGCCGTTCGGCGGGCCTCAGTGGCGCGAAGAGCGCCACCGGACCCAGACGCTCCGTTTTCCACAGCCCTTTTCCTTCCGGTCTCGAGCCAAGCCGATCGGGATTGGTGACTCTCCTCTTTCCGTTCCAACCCCCGAGTGCATCCGGTGCTTCCCATTTCCCCGGTGGTTTCCTCCGCGTCCTCCGTCACCGTCACCCAGTGCCGCTCCAGGCCCCTCGCCGGGCAGGCGCGCCTCGCGCGATGGCCCGGCCCGGCGCCAGGATCAGGCGGCGCCAGGCGAGATCAGCGTTTGGCATGGAATCCAGGAGTCATAAAGGAGTGGTTTTCAGTCCCATCCAGGGGCTGTGGATGTGACAGGGGCACCCCTATCCTCCAAGTTCGGCAGCCCAGGTGTTTTGGGTCGAGTAGATGGCACGGACCTGCGGCAGGGCCCCCCAAGTTCGACCCTGTCGTTTCGTGTCCTGGACTTCCCCCTGAACGATCTCCCAGCCGGGCACCTCCAAGAGGAGGGTCTAGGAAGGTTCTCGAGTTCTGCTTCTGGATGGCTTTCATGCCATTTCGGTGTTTTGGGGCCCATTTCTTCATGCCCCAAAGTCCTTCAACCTGTCCAGAATACACACCTGACTCGGGGGGGTGGACATCCACCCAAACTGTGCACGGCGCTGCCGAACCGCGTTGGAACCAACGGCGGTCACCGCACTCCGACCGTGCCACCAGCCGTCGGACGCACTCGCAGTTTCCTTGGGCTCGTTGGGTTTTGGGGGGCGTTCTGCCCTGAACTTGCCATCGGCTTTAGTGCAGCCGCCGTCCGCGTGGTGTGTAAACGCCCCGGGCTTCTTGGTTTGCCATGGGCTGCGCAGCCAGCGTGCAGACCAGCAGCTTCTCAAAAGTGGCCTCTTGGAAGTCAGAGCATGGAAGCTGTGGGAAGTGGGAAGTTGGATGAAGGTGGGAGGGGCACAGATAATAGCCACGATAAGACATTCCAAGAGAGGTGGAACGTGACCTGATAGGACCCGGAAAACCAGGGGTAACTGGGATAGTCGAACGTTCGGGTTCGCTCCCCACCTCTGTTGGCTTTTCAGACATGAATTAGACCATACCAATGAATTCTCTCACTCGCCAGTGGCGCGGAGCTTGCTGTTGCGGTGCTGCTGACGCTCCCTGCGTCCTTCGAGGGCTCCCTGCGAGTCACTGACCTCATTTTACTGGAGTTGCTCTCATACCCTAGACTTCCAACCACTATTACTGTAAATAGGCCAACTACCGAAGCAACTAAGGATTTGACACTCCAAAAACCCGTGACAAACCAAGCTTTATATCGACTGGTCGAACCGAAGTCGCATGGGACCTAGTGAAAAAAACCTAGCATGACTGGAGGTGAAGGACCCGCCCTTCAGACCGACCGTAGGGACGGTCCCAAGCCACGAGCCAGCCCGAGAGCCGCCCGACGGAGATCGCCAGGTCCCCAGTCCTCCCGACGCCGTGGACTCCGAGGGCGCCGCTGCGGTGGTGGCCCTGCGCCTGGAGCCCTGCGCCTCGCCGTGCCCGGCGCCCGCGTGGCCGCCGGCGCACCGCGTGCGGGTCGAATCGCCGGGCGAGGAGTGCTGGGTGAGCCGGGCGTGCGGTGAGGTCGAGAGTTTGAGACCGGGTGGGTGGTTCTCCCAGAAAAGGAGACCGAAAACCTCCAAAGCTGCGCCAGATGGTGGGGACTTTGGGGGGCTCAGTGGGTTTGGGTTGAAAATCCACATCTTGTGACAGGACAGGGAAGAGGTGTTCTCCCTGGTAGGTACCCAACTCCAACTCAGAGACGTCCTTCGGGGTGTGTCTCCTCCACTGCAGACCATCGGGTCGAAAAAGGGTGACCCGAAATCGAGGTGTTGGGAGGCAGGAGTGTTGGGAGCCCCCACAAAGTCTGCTTCCATCCTGCGTTTCTTCTTTTTGGGAGATGATGGAGCTCAACAACCAAGGGCAAGTGAGATGTCATGAGAAATTGGATGAAATTGGTCATGTAGACTCTTGATTGCTCAGCCACCTCATAAGACCGGGAACAATAAGTCACTGGTGCTCAGGTTTGGATCCTTGGATCTTCCGACCGTAGAAGGCTCTTTGGATCGATTGAAAAGGGCCGACAGGCTCGGCACTTTGGAGCAAACTCGAGCCCTACAGGCCCTACAGGTCAGTGACAGTGACCTCATCTTGACTGGAGATGGTCATAAATGTTCACGTTTTCGACCCGCAGACTGGACCAAAAGGTCAGACTGGACTTGTACCAGGACCTGACACCAGCTCGCCGCCTTGGTGTTTTTTGGACACTCGGAGGACTCACCTCTACAAACGAGGCGAAGTGGACATGTCGACACCTGTACCAGTGAGTCACATGGAGTTGGATGGTTTTGAGCGTTTGGGTCGTTGTTCTCGTTGGTTCAACCGACGATCGGTTCACGTTTCTCCAGATCTTCACGTTGAACTCGCGGTCACGTGGCGGTCACGGAGACCCTCGCAGGACACGGTCAAGGAGACGGTTGCTGAGGAGTGCCCTCCGCCTACGTCGGAGAGCACGAAGAGTGGCGCTTCTTCCAATGTGCTCTTTGAGATCTTAGCCGCGGGGCAATGACTGGCCGTGGGGAGTGTGAAGAAAGACCGCCCTCCAAGGGAGCCCTTGATATTGCTTGCATCACGACATGTTCTTCAGGTGATGTTGGGGGAGTGTCCCCCAAAACAAGTCACCAGTTCCAGCATGTTCCAGCATGTTCCGACGTTTGGACCGCCCCCCACAAGTCCGACAGGGAGAGAACCCGGAAACGCTCCGTGCATAAACGCGCGCACGAGCGGGATCCGAACTCGGCCTGGATCTTGGTGTCATGGTGTCCAAGACATGTGGGGTGTGTAGCTCAAAAGCTTCGGTTCTTATTGCTACTGAAGGCTTCTTCATTTGGACCCTCAGTTCGCGGCTCCGGGTGAAAGGGACCGAACCAACGGGGGTTTTGGACCGAACCAGCTGTTGAACGTGACGGGGTGCGATCCATGAACGTTGGGGGTGCCCCTGTCACATCCACTCACTTGGGGACCAAACACCACCCCGTCTTGTGACTCCTGGATCTATGATTTTCTTTAAAGCCTACGTGCCGAGAGCCGTTTTTACTGACTCTTTCTCTTCTTCCGGCCTTACTTGGTCGACCGCCTCAGGCGAAAGACCAGGTCGACTTCGACCAGGATGGCAGGGACGGCATGCGATTTGGCCTGGGCACCCATGGCAATCTGTAAATGAACATAGCATCTTTCCACCACCATATTGCTGGCATTATGATAGACACTCCATCTACCTACATGCGATTGTTGGTTGAAAAGGGGGTGAATGAGTAGGCAATGTAGGCATGGGAGTGTCTGGTTTATACTAATGACACAGATCCACGCCAACACCCGACCGGTCGACGCTGATCCACGTGACAGCTCCAGTTGACGACCGAAGTCAGCTTGGAACTGCTGCTGGACTCGCTGGTCACGAGCGAGCGCCCCCCTGGTCACATCCCAGGGGTCGCACTGGATGGGACGAACAGACTAAGCACCATACCACCCAAGGCCCAAGGCGCGTCCAATGCACCCGAGCCTTTGGCGCGCAGTTTTCAAGAGACATCGTTTTCTGGACATCTAGAAACAAGTCTGGAGGTTTCCTCAGTCCCACTGCCAAAAAGCCAAAAGCCAAGGATCTCACTGAACATAATAAAACAACCAAGTTTCTGGTATATATACCTGGGTTCCTAACTGAAGCCCTTTTTGCGCCACACCATTTAACCCACCGATTGGCGGTCCACCTCTTTCGTTTCCCAGTTTGCGCAGGTGCCTCATGTTCCACCGACGGCCCGTCTTCTCCTCAAACGCACCCCCATCCTCCACCGATGCTCCGCCCCTCCGCGCCCCATGCTCCGCCCGCGACAAAAGACCCCGGCGAAGCGTGGCGCTCGGCGGTGGAGCGCCAGGAGCAGCTCGAGGTCTTTAGCTCCTGGGAGGCCTCCCGTGGGCACGCGACGCACGGCCAAGCCCTGCCCCCGGGCCGCCCGGAGCACGACCGCCACAGCCGACACGTGCGGCGCTTCATGCACGGTGCGCGGCGCTACCCGATGCAGTTCCGGCGGATCGTTGGACGCGAGGAGGAACTAGGGTGAAGTGAAGTGAGTGAAGGTGGGAAGACAGGTGAAAACGAGGTGAAGAAAGATTGAAGAGTGAAAAAGCATGTGAAGACTGCTGTAAGGTTATGTCAGATCTTCCAGAAAAGAGACTTCAGAAGAGCTGTCCGCTGGGAGGGGGTGCCATAAGTCGACTTTCGCGTCACAAACTGAACGCACATGAGGCCTATCAAGACATGAGCGGCCAATGAGGCCCTAGCCCTGCCATTCAGTAGGTCGAGTCGTTCCAAGGGAAAATTATACAAGCATAGACCCCAAACAGCTTCAAAACGATTCGTTTAGACCAACATTAGTCAAACATCATCAAACATCGATTTCTTGGTACGCCCTACCTTCACCCCACGAGCAAACTGCTTCATCAATCAATTTTTGTCGGCATTGACATCGCTATTTGTTCGGCCACACTCCTCTCCAGTACACCGGGCCACAGAGACCAGCCACAGAGTTCAGGAGGAGGAGGACAAGGCCTGGACACAGAGCCCAGCCACAGAGGACAGGAAGAGGACAAGGCCTGGACACAGAGCCCAGCCACAGAGTTCAGGGGCGCGGCCAACAGGAGGACAAGAGGAGGACAAGGCCTGGACACAGAGCCCAGCCACAGAGTTCAGGGCGCGGCAGTGAGTGTGGCCAGCTCTCTTTTTTTAAAGATAGAACCCCAACAGTAAACTGTTTGGGGAACCACGACCAATGGTCAACAGAAAGAGCGGACGATCTACTTTGGCACCCTGCCTTGAACAGGCCTTGTTTGCTTAAAGATGGTAGCTTCTCACGAGCTTGAAGGAATATGGCTTCAACCCAATCAAGCCATAGTTGTCCTCCAGATGGTGCGCGTACTGGAGCACCCAGTGTGACCCTGTCGTTTCTCGAGCACTATTGAAAGGAGTATTAATGTTGACAGATCATGATTGATCATGTAAACATTGACTCCCCAAACCACCCCACTGTAGACAAATACACCAGACATGGAGCGTTTGGGGTACACTCCCTGGAATCTTCATGCCCCTGTAAGGAAGACCTTGACATCCAAAGAGCAGTCCCGGATGGTGCCATGCACATAACCATGAGGACCTTCCAGGGAGTGTGAAGTCGACCGCGGAAGTAGTTGCCATGCAACCTCTGGACATGTTTATTTTTTCCACTTCACACCCTGAAGGAACAGATCCTCTTCAGGTTGCTGGCGTAGACAAGGGGCCACAATACCCATGGCTCCAGACGGACGGTCCTAGAGATTCTTCGATTTCTGCTGTCTCCCACTTGCTTGGACCCTCTCCTTTTTGCGCCTTCCCCTTCGGGATGGTTTTTTGAAGATAATCCTCCCGGGCACTGGATTTCCAGCGACCGCTCCTTCAGAACGACGGTCAGTCGTGCTGGGCAGCTTCCTGCCTGGATCTGGGACGGGACTGTCTCGCACCGGTTACGGTGACGATTCTTTTTTGGTCTTTTGAACAGAATTCGTACATAATACAAATCCTTTTGTTGGAGCTTTCTGTTCCAAAAGCCATCTTTTTTTGCTGACTTTCCTCTTCCAAAAGGCCGGTCTCGGCGGTCACCTCCAAACCCACATCCAAGTCACGACCACCTGGTGTGGTGCGTTTTTCCTAGTCCCTTTGAACATGGGCGAGGCTTCCCCTGCTGGATTGATATGAAGAACCACCTTGATTGGTTTGTTCTATTATGTTTTAACAGCAAACCAAAGACCCTGGCAGTGGTGGTTCATGACCCTGCTCAAGGAGAGGACATCATTCAACAGAACAGTGGACATTGAACTGGGTGGTTCATGATTGGTGAACTAATCAGTTCTGCTAATGACCCTGTCTCCCGATGTTGTTTGCTTGGGATGAGAGTGACACCGGGGGGAACGTCTCAAGACTCGACGACGATCACGGAGAGATCAGGCCCGGCCCCATCCGATGGCCTAGTGCGGGAGTGGTCCATTATAGGATCCAGTGGCCCAGTGCGGGACCAACGAATCACACTGTAGCTTGTTTCTTTCACCCTTCAGCGCCGTCCCATTGAAACGCGGGACATGGACGTGCCTTTACTTGGAAGAGACGCCCTGCCGCGTGACTTTGGTGGCGGATGAGCTGCATCCTTGCATAAGTGGTCCAAACTGTTGGTTTAAGTGGGGCGGGAAGGGTGAATCTCTCATTTACAAAACAGAGAGTCTACTTGTTCTTTGTGACAAAGTAGAATCTGGAAGAAGGAAGATCCTCTGTAAAATCACCCGCATCATCCAACCCCAAGACAGTTTGGACTTGGAATCTGCGCATCAACGTGTTTGATCACCCACGCCTCATCTGGCTTTGAAAAAGCCGAAACGCGGAATTCTTCCGTTGCTGTCGCCCATGACTCCCTGACCTGCTGCTCTCTCTGCTCGCTCGTCTGGAAGTTCGCTCCGAAGGGAGTGCAGCTAGGAGCTCTAACAGTCCGTCATCAAGAACCATCAGTAATTTTAGAGATGAAAAGGCCTGCAACTGAACTGGAAATTCCAGGTGTACACCAGGTGTCATAGGAGATAGCCCTCTTTCGAAGGCTTGTTGCGTGGATTCCTTCGCCACTTAGCGTCAAGCGAAGATCTTTGGAATTGTGGAATATCAGTGAATGCAAGAAATTCACTGTCCACCCAAGTATATAGAGAGCTGCCTTCTTGAGCACTTGTCATAGCTGCTATAAGGCTTTTGTCGTGGCAGCCATCGTCGAGTTTGCGAGACAACAGCGCCTCTTGAGAACCTGGAGGTCCAAGCATTCTTAGGGTGTACAACCTTGACGCAACCCGGAATTTTCGGGGCCAGGGGCCGGACCCGCATTCTGGATCCTCAAATCTCTAGGTTTTGAGGGACCGGGCTGGTCGACCACGCAGTGTCTGGAAGGCCAAGTCGACCACGACGAGCGGATGGAAGCCTAATCAATGGCAGGTCGTGCGCAGTCGCCATGCGGTGACCATGAAAACACCGGAGTTTGGCAGTTCCGACGAGAGCAAATGCCGCCACCTCCCTTCCAAGACCATGAAAAGAGTGGTTTCGAGTCATTCACCTGGAAAGACAAGACAGTGCATTGCCTCCTTAGTAAGGCAAGGACGTTCGGGATGGGATTGGAACCCTTAAATCAATGGCGGTTGAAATCGTAGGGAATATGATAGTGCCAGAGTTCTTCGGCAACGTGAGCAAATTCTCAGAGGGTTTGGTGAGTTTTCGGAGGCTTCTGGACTTTCAAGAAGGGAAGAAGGAGCTGCTCGTCTGAAGGATTTCCACTTCAACGGATCCCAACGTTTCAATACATGTTGAGGGACTTGAAGATCTTGAACATCGGGGAGGGCCAAACTCTGGTGTTCTTGACGTCCGTGTTTAGTGAAGCAACCGCGCTCCCTGGAGCTCGGACTGAAGTCACTGTCAGAGCAAGACAGACCGAGCTTCCGTCTCGACTACTCACCTGGGAGTTCGTGCTCGGCAGATGTGATGGATTGCGCAACCAAAGAAACATGCCAGGCCCAGACACTCCATGGGACTGCCATAGGACTGCCGAGAAACGGCCAGGGCTGGTGCTAGGTATTTCTTTCCTGGGGCGGCAGCCCGACAAGGCAGTCCCAGACAGCTCGTGTCTGGGATGGTTGCGCAACTTCGTTCTCGGCAGCCACACCCCGTGTGGCAGTCATCCATCCCCGATCCAAAAGGCCCACCCGCCTGCCGAGGGCGGATTCTCCGTCACATCTACTGAGATTCCTCGGTGGCGCCAGCAGATCCAACCGGTCGGGACGTCGGCGCCCGGCAGCGAAGGACACCCGAGGGTGTCGAAGAAGGCCTGACCTGCATATGGATATTTCGCTACAGAGGGTCACAGGGGGTTCGAGTTAGGAGTTTTCGATGTTTTGTAGCTTTTCTCTCCCGGAAGTTCCAATGACTGAAGCCAACCTAGCTGAATTTGAGTTACCACGACCACAGGGGTAAGATGAGTCATGAGAGTCATGACCAGGACCCCCAGTCGGGGTGGTTTTCATGGACACCCCTTAAGCCTTAACCTCTAAGGGGCCCATTAATGGACACCCCATCCTCCGTGGTGCTGGGACGGGACTCTCATCTCGCCAGCTTCACGGTGTCGATTTCAGGGTCTCTGGGAGTGTCTCCCATGGATCGGTCGGAGGAGAGACGCTCCCGATCTCGTTTTCTCACCCGGGCCCGAAGCAACACCCTAGGCCTCGACTTCCAAGAGACCATTAAAACAAGGGTTCACCTGGTTTTTGTGGTGTAAAACCCTTAGTTGATTCAGCAAAGCCTATTAAATTAATGGTGGTTGGAAGCCTAGGGAACACATAGGGATTGGTGAGAAGGTCCAGACCTGCTGCGTTTCGGTGGAGAAAATCCCGACCCCCTCATGGATTCTGGGGGGGCACGCAAAAAGAAAACACCCGATCTGCCAAGTCCAGGTCCAGGTCTGCCGGTCGCAACCAAGAAGAACACTGACCTCCGGTTTCGTGAGTCGTGTGACTCGTGTGAGCATCCTCCAGTGAAGTCAGCTCCTGTCCCTACGTTCGTCCAGTTTGACCCAGGTCCAAACCTGGTCTTCTATACCTCCTATTCCGTATCGGGTTTGTATGACCATCTACAGTATTTCATGAGGTCCAATTCCTGACTTGTACCTGGACTCTCCTGGCCAGGTGTTTCCTGTGTTTCCAAGTCCAGTGCCCAGGTTCACCACCTGTCAGGGTCCCAGGCCACAGCCTGGCTTTCACGGAGGGTCCTGGCGACGGGGTCTCCTCCTCACCGTTTCGTCTGTCGACGGTCCGGGAGCGTCGCCGACGGTCCTCGTCTCCTCGTGGACCGAAGTTAGAGGACGAGGAGCACAGGTGGTTCGACGCCCTGGTTTCGTCCAGTCGAACGAAGAAGAATGGTCTGACGAGTTCGGGGACCCGGTCGTCCAGGAACTTCCTTGACTTCAGCCAGGTATCCAGATCGTCGGTTCCTGGACTTCTAGGGGGTGGGGGA